CATAATACACAAACTTTTAACTCTTAAAAAAATCCCATGTTTCGGATGTACATAATTGTATAAAAAAAATGTACATAATTGTATAATAGAATGTACATAATTGTATAATAGAATGTACATAATTGTATAACGTAATGTACATAATTATATACCAAAATACACATACACTCTGTCGCGTCAACTCCCCACACAACTTAACAAAACGACGTCGCTTTGAGATGCGCGGGGCGCACATTGCTATGTGCACAGTGGTGTACGGTATAACGATTGGCCGTTTTTCTATTTCGTTCAGCGACCGGCGCCAATCTCCAACAGTAACCGATTTTTGGGCTTCATTATTATATTAAATAAAATGTTAATGAGTTTAATTGTAACTTTAAAAAGTGTAGGCACCTAATTGAATTTTTAGGTAAAGTTCAATGGTATATTTCATCATTTTCCTTCTTCTTATTATTATTATTATAATTATTATTATTATTATTATTATTATTATTATTATTATTATTATTATTATTATTATTATTATTATAATAATAATAATAATGATAATAATAATAATGATAATAATAATAATGATAATAATAATAATAATAATAATAATAATAATAAAATAATAAATGCATTAATGAAAAATTGTGAATGTTGAAAAAATACTGCATTAATGCTAATTATAAATGTAAGAATACTTTAGTGAAAATAAATACCCTTGGCAGCCTATGTCTTCATTTACCTCTGACTGGAATATAATGCAACATTCACAGAGGTTCTTTAACTTTGTAAACAGACACTAAACCAAATAAGCAACTATTAATTCAGTTAACCAAGAACAATAGATTTTAAACCAAATAAGCAAATAGTGAGTACTGCATTAAAATAGTGGACCAAAAAACACTAAATTTAAACTCTTATTGTGTCTATAGTGAGTGTAGCAGAATGTATAGATATTGTTTGATCACGTTGGAATAAATTGTGGCATCAGAATGTACTTTCATCACCTGCCAAATCCTGAAAAATAAAGGTTAGTAGTGAATAAAAAGTTAAGATAAATTCACTAATCGCTAAACAAAGTAATTTATTGCAAAGCAGTAATCCTATAAGCAGTAATATTAAACTAACATAAAGCTACATACACTACCATCTACATCATAATTAATCATCTGCAATTTATTTTGCAAACAACTTATACGTATTAGATACATAACTACATTCAAGTATAGCAATCGAGATACATTCAACATGGGCATTAGAAACAAAGTTCATCATATACCATTTTCTGCAAGTAAATGGTTAGTATGAAATAAATATTTAAATCAAATTAATGGCAATGGTGGAATAGTAAAAGACTTTTCTTATTCCCAATAAGACTAATCATTAATGGGAATCAAATCCTGCTCTATATCAACTCAAAAATCAAGTAATTGTAGTCTAATGTACTGACAGAAAAAAACTTATTCAAGCATGCTCTGCACATAGCCTACCAGATTACACACAAAGGAATACTACTGCTCACGCAATGAGGAAGATCAGTGCATCCACAGTCATCCGCGGCAAAAGGAAGAACATAACAACTCAACCAGGTAATAAACATTTGGTTACCTATAAGGCTTTATCTGCATTCTTCTCTTCGTAGAAATTCAGAGTAAATCTTCTGGCTGCGACATTTTAGGGAAGACAATAATAAAAATCAGATTACAGTTTGTTTATAACCCGGCGATGAATTTATAGAGTAAAACAAAAACATATTATTTGTATAAGAACAATTTGTATATATATAATTAAAACTACCTGTTTAAGCAAATCTGTATATCCTTCTTTGAGATCGGCTGTCTTAAAATCCAGATCTAGCAACAGAGCACTGTAGATCCGTAGAAAACTATTAGAGATGATCGAAAATTTATACCATCTCAAAACCAAAACTTTTGGGCCATGAACAGCTCTAGATCTAGGAAGAGAAGCATTACAACTGTTTGGTAGAACAAAACTCAAAGGAAAATAAAACCAAATACTCATTCTACGTTTCCAGATCTGGATTGTGAAAACATTACAACTTAATACTCTATGTAATCTTGATGCGTAGAAATAGAAATTGACAACAGTAGAACAGAGAGGTAAGGTGCAGTCAGTGAGGTAGGATGAAGAAATACAGAAGGATTCAGTGCTTTGTCTAGATAGGTCCATGGTAACACAGATAGCTAGAAGATCGGAAATGTCTAGAATGCTTCTTCTCGACATTTCTTCTTCATTTCTGAGAAAGGAAGTCTTACCTAGCTAAATGGATCATGGGTACATTACACGTGTATGCCGAGGTTGGCATATTGTTTTTTTAAAAAAAAAAATTTTATATATTGGTACAGAGAAGACTTTGATTAATAAAAATACAGAATAATTATTTATTTAGTATATCACATAGGGTTTACACTTTGATCAATAACTAAATAATTATTTATTTAGTTTTTATAACATTTAACTGCTTACAATGTCATTTTTTGCATAAATCATAATATGTTGAATTGGTACTAAAGAAATTGATGTATTCATCGAATGTTTCTTAACTTAGAGTTCCAATTATAATATATATATTGATATATTTAGCTAAACTAAGTGTTAATTGCGTATTTGATATGGCAGAAGATGAAGTTGGACAAAATCAATCTACTAATCTAAAAATCCATTTTGATAAAGAGAATCATATCAACTTTAGAGATCATGACACTTCAATACCATTACAAGAATTCAACACCCCGTCAAGCAATCAAATGAATGGTAAATAATTTTTCTTTTCAGTGTGTTTTTGGAGAATGAAATTTAGTTTTAGTGTAAGATTGAAGTATTGCTTTTTCTTGCTATTTTGTTCAGGTAATCAAAACAATCATTTGCCAAGCACTTCAAAGTCCATTTTGACATGCAACAACACTTTAACAACGAATAAGAGGCGTGTACTTAGGCCTCTTCGTAACAATATGGAAACCCCATCTAGCACCGTGACTAATGGTATTGGCGTATTGTTATTAATTTATTATTTCAATTGTTCGTTAAACATTTTATATATTATGTTAAATCTTTTTTACATTTGTAAGACTATATCATTGTTAAATACTCATACAATGTAATCCTTTGTCAAATGTTATATTTTAATAATTTGTAAGTTGTAATTAATCATTTATTTTTAAAATGTAACCATTGGCAGGATGATTAGTATATTATTTTAAAATTTTAGGGATTATATATATCTTGATTGCTTGATTTTTAAGACTATATCATTGTTAAATACCGCTACAATGTAATCATTTGTAAAATTAAATGTTGTTAAAAATTTTAATAGTACTAGCTAATATAAAAATTCTTGAACATGCCAACGGTCATTAGGGGAAGTGCCGAATGTTAATCAAAATATTATTTGTCAACCATTCAAAAATAACATAAACGGTACATCTAATAAAATAGAAAAAATTGATTTTTTTTAATGATTTTTTCCATTCATGTCATTCATTTTAGTTTTATAATTTTTTCAATTTACACATTTTAGGTTCATGTGTTGTTAATAAAACCTTAACTCAAGGCAATTTACGGTTTAATCGGTTGTTAATGCTAAATTTGAACACTGTAACTAGAGGATCAACTTCTCTTACATCTTTGCAAAATGGTTAGTATTTTCTTTTAAAATTGTTGTAATTAAATATATATGTTGTTTGATTGCTTGATTGCTTGATTTTAAAGACTAGATCATTATTAAATACCGCTACAATGTAATCATTTGTAAAATGTTATGTTCTTAAAATTTGTAATTAATGTTACAAAGTCCTATTTGCCAATAGTCCCAGGTTATTATACAAATTCTACAACATGCCAACAGACAATAGGGGAAGTGCCGAATGGATACCGTAATATTATTTGTCAAACCGTTAAAGACAACATAAACGGTAAATCTCATACAACTCAAAATTTCGACAGTTTTTAATGATTTCTGAGATTCATTTAATTCATCTTAGTTTTTTAATTTTTTCTATTTCACATTTTTTAGGTTCATGTGTTGTTAATCCAACCTTAACTCAAGGCAATGTACGGTTGAATCGGTTCTTAATGCCTGAGTTTGACAATGTCAATAGAGGATCAAGTTCTGTTACATCTTTGCAGAATGGTTAGTATATTATTTTACAATTTTAGGAATTAAATATATATGTTGTTTGATTGCTTGATTAATTGATTTTTAAGACTATACCATTGTTAAATACCGCTAAAAGGTAATTAATTGTAAAATGTTATGTTTTAAAATTTTATAATTAATCGTTCAAATTCTTATTTTTCAATGGTCCCAGGTTATTATACAAATTCAACAATATGCCAACAGACAATAGGTGAAGTGCCGAATGTTAATCAAAATATTCTTCGTCATCCCTTTCAAGACAACAGAAACGGTAAATCTCATAATACTCAATAATTGGAATTTTTAATCATTTTTTACATTCATGTCATTTATCTTCTTTGTTTCCAAATCTCAATTTAAAACATTTTAGGTTCATGTGTTGTGAATCCAACCTTAAATCAAGGCAATGTACGGTTGAATAGGTTGTTAATGCCCGAGTTTGACACGGTCACTAGAGGATCAACTTATGTTACATCTTTGCAGAATGGTTAGTATATTATTTTCAAATTTGTAGAATTCAATATATATGTTGTTTAATTTGTTGATTGTGTATATTCAATTAAGAACATAACATTAATTCACAAAAAATTTTATAGTTACATATTTAGACTTTGGTGATCCAATATATTCATGTGACCATTGTGGTGCGGTGTTTTGGATAGAAGAAAGGATCAACCAAATTTTGGGAACTTCAAGACCAAAGTATTCGCTTTGTTGTACTCACGGAAAAATCAAGTTGCCTACTAAACCAACTCCGCCTGCTGCATTGTTTGATTTGTTTTTTAAGAATGACAACAAGAGTGGTCATTTTTTAAAAAATATTAGGTCCTACAACAATATGTTTTGCTTCACTTCAATGGGTGGAAAAATTGATAGGACTTTGAATAATGGTACTGCACCACCTGTTTTCCGCTTACACGGTCAGAATTTCCACCTTTTGGGAAGCCTAATGCCTGAATTTGGCTCTCGACCGAAGTTTGCTCAATTGTACATATATGATACTCAAAACGAAATACAAAATCGCATCGATGCAATTAGGTACGTCAATTCCATTCTATATATAAATTGCATTGTTCGATTTTTACTACATTATGCTAATTAAATATATTTTGTCATAAATATACAGAGAAGATGATGTTCACAATAAACTACATGCAGAGATAGTACAAGACATACAAGACGCATTAGATCAAAACAATGTCTTAGTAAAAAGTTTTCGCATGGCAAAAACAGAGATTGAAACAAATCCGATGGCAAAGATTAAGATCAAATTAATAGGAAAGAGGAATAAGGATGCGCGAACGTACAATTTACCACAAGTCAGTGAAGTGGCGGCTTTGATAGTGGGAGACTTAGATCCAAATATGGGAGAACGTAATATCTTGGTGGAATCAAGATCTGGTATTTTTAAAAGGATTAGTGAATTAAACCCGGCCTATCTACCACTGCAGTACCCATTGTTATTCCCATTTGGTGAAGACGTATATAGAGAGGATATTCAATTCTCAGGTGTTCAACAACAAGGCCGACCTGGTCGTATTAGGATTAGTCCTAGAGAATACTTCTCCTATTATATTCAAGATAGAAAAAATGAGATGTCAACATTGTTGTTCGCAAGAAGGTTGTTACAACAATTCCTGGTAGATGCATACACTATGATCGAATCTGGGCGTTTAGTATATGTTAGGACCCACCAAAGATCATTGAGATGTGAGTCTTATAAATGCTTGACAGATGCTCTGACCCGTGGTGAACTTGATCCATCTGCCCAAGGCCGTCGAATTATTTTGCCTTCAACTTTTACAGGTGGTGCAAGATATATGGTCCAAAATTACCAGGATGCGATGGCAATATGTCGATGGATTGGGTATCCAAATCTCTTTATTACATTCACATGTAACCCAAAATGGCCTGAAATTGTCAGATTTTTGGAAGAGAGAAGATTAAAGGCAGAAGATCGGCCAGATATAATATGTCGTGTCTTTAAGATGAAGTTAAATGCTCTAATCAAGGAGATTCGTAAAGAAAACATATTTGGTTCTGTTCTAGCAGGTAAAGAATTTATATGTTAAAGTTTAAAAAATTATTTATTTTTTAACAAGTCCTTTGATCTATATTTCAGAATACTGAATTTATTAATATTTTTTTATTGTAGTGATTTATACCATTGAATTTCAGAAAAGAGGTTTACCGCATGCGCACATATTGTTGTTTCTGGCAAATCACCGTGGGTCTGTGGCTGCAACAGATTTAGACAACTTCATTTCAGCAGATATACCAAGTGAGTTGTGCGACCCAGAGTATCACAAAGCAGTAGAAGAATTTATGATGCACGGTCCGTGTGGTACGTGTAGGAAGAATTCACCATGCATGGTTAATGGTAGATGCTCCAAATATTATCCAAAGAAATTTGTAGAGAAATCAACAATGGATGAAGAGGGTTATCATGTTTACCGTAGGAGTGACAACGGTAGGACCATAAAGAAAAATGGTATTGATCTAGATAGCAGGTATGTCGTTCCACACAACAGGCATTTATTGGTGAAGTATAGGGCTCATATAAATGTAGAGTGGTGCAATCAATCCAGATCAATTAAGTACTTATTTAAGTATGTGAACAAGGGGAATGATCGGTTACGGCTGAATTCTACAACAGTGTTGCTGATGAAGCTAATGGAAAGGTAATCGATGAGATCAAGATGTATTATGATTGTAGGTATATTTCACCCTGTGAGGCAGCATGGAGGATGTTCGCCTTTGATATACAGATGAGGGATCCGTCTGTAGAGCACTTGAGCTTTCATCTACCAAATGAGCAATCAATCATATTTAATGATGATGATGTTGTCAATGATGTTGTTAACCGTTCAACTGTGAGACAAAGTATGTTCACGGCATGGTTTGATGCTAACAGCAAATATAGCGAGGCAAGAAACTTGACTTACGCTGAAATGCCAACAAAATTTGTATGGAAAAAAGATAAGAGAGAGTGGCATCCAAGGCAAAGGAAGTTTGCAATTGGTCGTATTTTTTATGTTCCGCCAAATAGCGGAGAAATCTTCTATCTTAGATGTTTACTTAATATTGTGCGTGGACCAAGGTCCTTTGATGAAATTAAATATTTTGAGGGGGTGCAGTATACTTCATTTAGAGATGCCTGTTATGCACATGGTTTAATCGAGGATGATAAAGAGTATGTTGACGCGATTAGTGAAGCAGCGATATGGTCCTCAGCACATTCTTTACGTAAATTGTTTGTAACCTTATTGACATCAAATTCAATGGCGAAACCAGAGAAAGTGTGGGATATTGTTTGGCAATACCTAGCTGATGATGTTGAGTTCAATGCTAAAAGAAATACAAGTAATCCAGGTAAACAATTCTTCTTCAAAACACATACTTAAATGTACTTTTTGCAGTTATATATTCAACTAATTTGTTTATAAATTATGTAGATTTGATGCTCAATGACGAACAGAAGAAAAATGGGGCACTAATGGAAGTGGAAAAATTGTTGAATGCTTGGAACAAGTCTCTAAGTGATTATCCACCAATGCCGATGCCAGTGGAAAGTCATGAATACTATTTCGGTAATCGGTTGTTGTACGAAGATTGGCGTACGACAAAGAAGCTTTAAAGCTAGAACATGAATCTCTGTTTTCTAAACTAACTGATGAACAATTACTCATATACAACAAAGTGATTGTGGATGTTGAATCTAATAAAGGTGGTTTGTTCTTTGTTTATGGATATGGTGGAACTGGCAAGACATTTTTATGGAGGACACTGTCGGCTGCTTTAAGGTCAAAGGGACAAGTTGTTTTGAATGTAGCATCAAGCGGTATAGCCTCGCTACTTTTACCGGGTGGAAGGACTGCACACTCAAGATTTTCTATCCCCATTGCAGTGAATGAAGACTCAACTTGCAACATTAGCCAAGGTAGTCCACTTGCTGAATTGATTATAAAAGCTAAGTTAATCATATGGGATGAAGCTCCGATGATGCACAAACATTTTTTTGAAGCATTAGATCGGACAATGAGAGACATATTGCGATTCACCAATCCAAAAAGCTTACAAATGTCTTTTGGTGGAAAAACAGTGGTACTTGGAGGTGATTTTAGACAAATACTACCAGTTATACCAAAAGGCAGCAGACAAGAAATAGTACAAGCAAGTATAAACTCATCATACTTGTGGAGTAATTGCGAAGTACTACGCTTAACCAAGAATCTTAGGTTGCGTGGAATTTCAAGTGCAGAAGAAGTTGCTAAGTTAAACAGCTTTGCAAAATGGATTGCTGATCTAGGAGATGGAAATTTAGGAGAAGAGAAAAATGGTGTCTTCAATATAAGGATTCCAGATAATTTTGTTTTAAGAAATGAAGTTGACCCCATAGCAGAAATTGTCCAAAGCACATTTCCTTCATACGGTCATGGTCAATTTGATCATAAATTTTTAGAGTCCCGAGCTATATTAGCTCCAACATTAGATGTTGTGGACAAGGTGAATGAATACATGAACAGTATGAATGAGGCAACTTCCAAGACATATTTGAGCTGTGATTCGGTTTGCAAGTCAGATACAAGTTCTGATATGTTATCGGAGGTTCACACTACAGAGTTCCTTAACAGTTTGAGATGCTCCGGTGTTCCAAACCATTCTTTAACATTAAAGGTTGGATCGCCAATTATGCTGCTCAGAAATATAGACCACTCATTGGGATTGTGCAATGGTACAAGGTTGATCATTACACAATTAGGAAACCATGTCATTGAAGCTCAAATTCTGTGTGGCAACAATGCAGGCACCAGGGTATTAATACCAAGATTGGGATTGACTCCTTCTGACCCAAGACTACCGTTTAAATTTCAGAGGAAGCAATTTCCAATATTGTTGTCATATGCTATGACAATAAACAAGCGTCAAGGACAAACTTTATCTAATGTCGGACTACTATTAAAGAAACCCGTGTTTAACCATGGACAGTTGTATGTAGCAGCATCTCGGGTAAGTAATCCAGATGGGCTGAAAATCTTAATATGTGGAGACTCGAATGTGGGTTTGAACACTACAGAAAATGTAGTGTACAAAGAAATTTTCAATAATTTGTAATTTTATACTGATATTCAATGTCATATCATAATTTTATTATTGTTTTGTATATAATGTAACAGTTTTTAAAAATTATTAAATGTTTCCAATTAAGAAAAACAGGGCATATAGCCAATATAATAACAAATAAAATTACTTTTAATTTATTAACATAATTGCAATATTGCCAAATATATGTTCGTGCATCGCACGGGTGAAATACTAGTAGTAGTAGTAGTAATAATAATAATAATAATAACAATAATAATAATAATAATAATAATAATAATGGGTAAATTGGTATGTATCTCAAGTTTAAAGTGGAGAATTTGGGCAAAGATAGGTAGTAGGACTAGGAAGCCCTTTGATATGATCTGTCTGAAATGGAAGCTAGGCATAATCCAGCTACTATACACATGACTCCAGCAATATAATAGTGTTAGGAAATCAAGACCTTGGATTGTGTTATTTTGTTGGATCAGCATGTGTATATTCCACTGAATTTTAGGATATTGTTTTCCGATATATCATCCTTAATTAACTCTCATAGCATAGGAAACCGGGAAGGAACTACGTAGGAATTACGTAGCTACAATGCAATTACGTAGGAATTACGAAGTAGCTAGCAACCTGCAGGTAGAAACAATAACCTAACATACAAAATCAAACACATATATCACCCAAATAATAATAATAAGAGGAGTTGGATTGACCGGTGGATAAAATATAGAATAAAGACCATCCACCATTGATAAACTTTCATAGGTGAATGTAATTAGTCATTACTTTTTTGAGTTAATACCATCCGAGGTCCTCCGAGTATAATGATTTTGTCACGTTTAGTCTTAAACTTTCAAATTGATCATTCGTGGTCTTTTGACTTTCAAATTTAACCATTCGTGGTCCAAGTTAACCACCCAGGGTCCTTCAACTATTAAATTTTAACCAACCATGGTCCTTTCAAGAGGACCACGACTGGTTAAATTTCGAAACTTGAAGGACCATAGGTGGTTAACTTGGACCGCGAATAGTTAAATTTGAAAGTCGAAGGACCACAGATGGTCAATTTGAAAGTTTATGACTAAACGTGGCACAACCAGTATACTCAGAGGACCTCAGATGGTATTAACTCTTACTTTTTTATAGTAGGGCATTGTTTTCATTTTGGTTCATTTTAATTTTAACTTTCAGGTTTATAATAATTATAAAATGAATCATTTACTATAAAAAGTGAAAACTAATCTCATTTGAACTCTGATTGAATGAATGTCACCTTCTTCTTTTGAGGTAAAAGGAGACTATCGGTTGCCTTCTTACTGTAAGAAGGCGACCAAAAGGCCGCCTACTTTATCAGTGAAGGAGGCCACTAGCAACCGTTGGTCAGTTGTGATCGATTATAACATACAAATGTTTTATATTTAAAATTTTAATATAATAATTATACATAATTAATTTGTGTTTTTTCACTAAGTTTCAAAATTCTGGATATAAGTACAAAGAGAAACAAATATTTAAATTTTTTTGCGCCAATAAACCAAAAAATATACGAGTTACAGAATGAGATACAAATCAATCACGTTCATGAAAAGGAAAAAATGATTACATTGAGAAGAATTCGAAGAAACACACACAACCACACCCTAGTATACATTGCAGAATTCGACGATCCTTTGTTATGGAGATTATTTTGCATTTGGTGTGAAATTTTGTACATCTGAATCAGAAAAGCCTCAGCAAACTGATATCACAATTAGATTCACTTGGTGCCTTTAGGTCCGCGGTAATGATAAGACTTGTCATTCATTCCCAAAACCAACTTCTTGGAGTTAACCAACCTCTTGCCACGATCACCATCATCCAACCTCAACAGCCTATGGTTTTGTGGTTGGATATTCTGTGTCCCTAATAAATTTTTCACCATCTCATCCATTTCAACGACCTTACTCTGTAAGTTGGTTTTGTCCACCTACGAGAAGTGAAAACAATTGAAAAAAAAAAGTGAAAAACAATAAAACTTGGCATTACTATAACGATTTTATAACACGTAAGTGCAAAGTTGATATCGGTACTTTCAACATTTCATTTTGGGCAGTCAGCAACTGATCCCGTTCGCGTAATTGCTCTATGGTCATCTGTGTTGCTAATTCAATGGCTTCTCTTCTTTTCACTTGCAAGATGAATCTGAACAAATATGACCATTTTTATATAAGGGACCATTTCATGAGAACCAAAACGATTCCATGATTAAGGAAAGACAGCTTTCTGATTATAGATTATCTTACGCTTCTCTTTCCTCAATTAAATCATTTAGCTGTCTCCTCAGATTTAGAACTTCTTTCTCCTGCTCAATAAAAGTATATGTAAGGCAGTGGCTCAACTGAACATTAAACTATTATATCCAGTGGAGTATACCATTGCACTGTACTCTAGCGATTGTTGATGAGCTTCAACAATGAACTTTTGAAGCTGGTGCTGATCTATCAGATCCTAGGGCACAGGAAAAAGGGTTTTGAGACAAATAAGAGAGACCATTCGTGGCAAAGAATTTAAGAATTCAGGAACTTACTGCATAACTAGTCATGTCCAGTTTGACGCCTAGTAAATCCCTGATGACATCATGTGTCATGTTTTCTGCTGCAGCTAGTCTATTATTAAGTATACATACCTGATACCAGAAACACAGAAACATGTCAATAATTTTTTTTTAAATGTTAATACTTCTCTGCTTTGCTTCATATTTGGGAGGGAAAGTCAGGAACGAAACAAAAGAACAATATAATTAGGAAAGATAAAAATGTGTGATTTGCCTTTGAAATTCTTTGTATCAGTGCTACTAACACTTACTATACAGCCAACTGTGTGAATAAACATCATACCTCTTTTTGTCTTTGTGCCACCAAGGCTTCTAGTTCTTCTATTCGGAGTTTAGCAACTGACAATTCCTGATCTTTTTCCGAATTCATCTGCTGAACCAAACTAGAAATGCATCTGAAAGGTGAACTTGAGCCCCTTATCCTTGTTGAGACTTTTTCTATTTTATCTGATGTTGATACTTGATTTTCCAAGTTTGATGAATCTGTTCTAAATTCATGAACCATTGCTTCCAAGTCTTTGTACTGATATCATATTAGGAGAAAATATTAAGTTCTCAGTTGCTTAAGCAATTGTTAAGACAATAGACAACTCATAACAAATATTCAAAATGGCAACCAACACTTTTTAGTTATTGATGCAGTTCAAGTAATCAGTTCCCAACAAGCACTGGGCACCTCATTGCCTAAGCTTTGGCATCACATAGTTGAGTTCCTAGCAAGCAATAGTGCATCTATTTCTCTTGTTATTTTATGTTAGTGCAGGGCCTCCTTTTCAAAATAACTCCCTACCCTTCAGTTGATTCCAAGTTCCATCAATATGATTTTCAATAACTCTCCATAAAGGGAATTTGGAAAGCCGTAATTGCAAAGATTCAACACAGAGTAATGCTTGATTTGTAATCTTCCAAATTTTGGTAAAAATGTTCACCTTTTGCTGATACTGCAATGCCTGTGCTTCCGCATGCAATAGAAGTTCAGAGATGTACTCTTTGCATTGTTTGACCTACAATTCAGTGTAATGCTTCAATCACAACATAGGTTAACCAAGCTGTAAATACAAGTTAATAATGTCAAGATATAATTCAATAGTGAATCATGGCACACCTCCTTAACCAGTTCTGCCTTTTCTATCTCCAGGATTTTTATCTGATCATAAGCCTTTTGATGTGACAGGGACCTGCTATACAGTTAACTGAGTCCAATCATGATCCCACAATAGTAGATAAGGAAAAAATCTATGCAAAGGAACTTTAAGAATAGTTGGAAATATTCTCAAGCATTAGAATCATACTAGTACTGGGTAATTGCATATGAACTCAATCTAGGAATACTTCTACAATTCTAACTGAAACCATAAGCCCTTTCTACCTTGGAAATTGATCCTTGGTAAGTTGTGAGCCTGAATTTTTTAACTCCAGCTTTTCAGTAAAGTTTTCAACTGTAAGTAGTCTCTCTTTTAGTGCTTGAAGCTCCAGTTCTAATGATTCTCTTATCATGTGATGCCGTTCTACCTCTTCTTCCATTTCATGCACCTTGAAAAATGGTAGTGTTAATAAAAATGATACAGTGATAGTCATTATTTTTTTTTTCTAAGGACTGGGTATTGAATTGCAAAGGGAACTGTTTTATCTGCACAACAAACTCAAAGCTGTCTTTAGTGGGACAACAACAACAACAAAAAAAGACAGAAGAAGAAGAAGAAACTTTAAAAAACTTACCTTTTTCTCTAGAATATTTATGGTGCCATCGAGCTCTTCAACAGAGTGCTCTAAAATCTTAACCTCCTCCTCCTTTTGCTCAGCATATATTTTACTTGCTTCTGACTCCTAGGAATTTAGCTTGAATTCAGCATATAGTAGTATATCCATCAAGGTTTGAGAATTAAACTTTTTATCTTATCTACATACCTGGCGGGCTTCCACGGCAATAGCTTCATTCTCATTAGCAAATGCATAAGCAATATCAAGCTTGTCTTGCAAGGACCGCACTTGTTCCAGAAGCTGAATTTTCTCTCCATTCACTTGATTATCTGTTGAAGATGTCAAAAGAATAATCTCTTTTTCTAACATCTCCACAGCCTTCATTTGTTCTCTCAATTCTTCCTCTGTTTCTGACTTCTTTAGATAAATATCCTCCAAGAGCTCTCTCAACTCAGCATTTTCCTTAGACAAAATCTCCAATTTTCTTCTTGCCTCCAATAGATCAGAATGTGAGGAAAAAAGAGCACTTTGAGCCTCTTTAAATTGGTTTTCAAGTGTTCTATGTTGAACAATCATGTCATCATGCTGATTATTTTTAATTCTTAACTCATTCTCAACTTGGCTCAAGGCTGCAATTAACTTCTCAATTTCATCCTTGACATCCTTTTTGCTGGAAGCTGATTCTTGCAGTAAGCTAAAGTCAAAAAGTAAACCTTTTAAAAGAGCTTCTTTACGTTCCAATTCTCTCCGGAGCTCAGCATTCTCATTCATTGAATTAGCATGCACCAGATCTATCTCTTCTGATACTGTTGTTTTTATGGTTGGAGCCTTTACCTTTCTCAGATCATAGGTCTCATAGCTTTCACCTGTGTTACTTAATGCCAAAAAACCTTCTTGCAGTGCAGCTGGTTGAAACACAAGATTTCTATTGAGGACCAAAGAGGCTAATCCAGTCCCTTCTATGTTAGTGAATATTTCTTCTAATAGCAATCTTGAGTTACAAATGCAGCTCATAGTCTCCTTTACCATTCCAAAGGCATCAGAAAGCACAGACTTGCACAATGTGTCCACATATTTTTGTGTTTCTTGGAACGTGTCTTCAATAGAAGATATCGAGCTTGCAATTTCAGTGAAGGTGTGATGCATCTGATTCTGCAATATCTCGTACTCGCTCTCTGTCCCATGAACATCAGAGTTAAGTTGCTGAATCTCTTCATCCAATCTGGCTCTCTCTACCATAAATTCCTCCCCTGCTCGTTTCCACATACATTTCAACTCCTTTGCACCTTCATTTGCTTTGGTTAATGCCTGCAGCGTATGATCAGCTTCCTTGATGGTTCTGTAAGCTTCCTCGAATTTGTTGAAGAACCTACTAGCCTGACTAGTTTTGTCATTCAATTTCAACTGCGTGCAATAATTAAGTGTGAGAAGAGTAACCAAAACTCAATCAACAAAAATGTGTAAAGTAAAAACATGTTTTCTTTCAGTTAACCTTAGAAAGAAGATCTAAGTAAATGAATGTTTTATATATTAACTACCTCCCTCACAAGGTTGCAGCCTGTTTCAGCTTCAGTTATAATTACTTCAAGACCAGGAACCATTTCTGGCATTATGACTTCAGATTCATTTCCCATTACACAGTGGTCATTACTTTTCGAAAGTTCAAGCAAATTTGAAAACCATGGACTTGAGCATAAGCAATTCTGGATTTCTTTCCCGCAGAAACTTGTATCAAAATGAGCTTTTAATTTGGCGAACACAATATAGGTGCTTCTAAATTCCTTCCTCAGAAAATATAATATTTCTTCTTGATTTGAATTCATGACTAAGTTTTGTATGATATTTGATCCACGAAGATCAGAAGAAAGAATTGACCCATCACTTCCATCAGAAGGATAAGAAGAAGAAGTCGAACAATCGGTAGATCCATCCGAGTTCATTGACTCCTCAGCAGCTCCAAGGTATCCATACGGATTTAAAAGCTTATAAAAGCAAGCATTAATGTGATTCAAACTCTCATTTGTTCCAACAAGTTCATATAGAATCTTATGCAGCATTTGGCGCACTCTATCACATCCAGAAATTTCATTGGAATTACTTGATTCAACTCCAACAGAATGTAATTGAACCCTTCCATGTTTTTCCTTCAACTCAGTAAAATGTCTCTGCAGCTCCTGGATATCATTTACAATGTCTTGAATCAAGTCCTTGAAAAACAACACATTGTTATATCCGTCAGATTTGATGGCTGAAAAGAGCCTTTCTGCATCATGACAGGAAGTTTTTATAGCATTTTCCAGCTCCAATACTTCCCGTTTTGTTGACTCAATCTCATTATTAAAACCTGTCAAGCCAAAATTTTGTACACTGATTAATGGCTGATCTTTTATATCAATAACATAGGTAAGTTCAGGTAAATCAGATACACTATTCACTGCAGATAAATCAAAACTGGCACATCTTTCAGCTTCATTGATCTGGACTTCACTGTGGATAAGTTTGTTCTCCAAAAATGTTATATTACTGGTTGTATCTCTTAATCCTGTAGCTAACTGAATTCCCTCTTCACTGCTTGCATCATTTACTTGCTGCTGAGCTTCAGCGAAAGCAATTGTTGCTCCCTTCAAAGACAACAACTTCTCTTCCATTTGGAACACAGTCTGTTGTGCTTCTTCCAAGCTCTTCTTTAGCAAAAGAATAGTTTCTTCCTTCTCAATATACGTTTTGGCAGCCCTCTCAACATGCTCACCAATGAAAAGGTCGACATTAGGAAATGAGCATGCTATGCTTTCTATCTGCCAACCGGCATCTTGAAGGGATTTTGAACCATCTGTAAGGAAGTTGGTTAAATCCAAAGTTGCTCTTTCCCACTCTGCACAGACCACCTTCATTTCTTCCTCTTTAGCAGCAAGAGTGTCTTTGAGGCTTATGATTTCCTCAGCCATGCTGGACAATTTCTCCTGAAATTCAGACTTGATTTGAGAAATCTCTTCCTGCAAGAGAAGAATAGTCTTAGCTGTTTCCATTTCTACCTCCTCACAGATCAGTTCATGTTGATGTTTCATGGTCATTTTCTGTGCATGTTCCTCTATACACTTGCCATTAACTAAGCAGGCTTCCTCGAGATCCTTGGACACTTTTTCCAGCTTAGCTTGCAACCCGACCAAAGTGATATCAGCACTACCCCTCAACGCCAAATTCAGATCTGTATATTCCAAACAAACCTGTGATTCACAACTTTCACACAACGAGCCTGGTTGTTTCCCAATATGTTCATTTCTACCAACCATTCCCAGCAACCTACAATTTTCTTCCTTCAATACCTCTATCCCTTCAATGAGATGGACTTGCTGCAGTTCCATCTCTTCCATTAAAGATCTTGATTCCATCAACTGCTTCTTCATATCATCATACTCCAAAATCAAGGCGTTCTCCACTCGCTGATTACTTTTATCCAAAAAATCTTCTTCATGCACTGGCAGGGGGTGAGGTGTGCTTTTTACCAATACACTTTCATCTAACACGCTGCCAACCTGTAAAAGCAGTGATTGTATGCATAAATTAAACAGAAATTTGAATAAAACCATTCAGTCTGCATGCAGCTGCCAAATATTCACAATATCTAATTATTTCAATGCAAACCTGATATCCTTCTCTAGATGCATGTTTCGGCATCCAGTAGTTCCCTCCATACTCGATTAATTCCAAGAACTTGACATAAAATGCACTTGAGAACCTTAGTATTGGCAGTATGAAAAACAAATAGTAAAGCATAATAGCAGAGAAAAATTAAGACCTGTTCACGTAGTTCTGATATTTCAGCAACCAATCCTTCTCTCTGTCCATGATCATAAAAATTTTGAAACCTAATAGTAATAGAGATAACAAATCAATCGCAGTGGGGTGAAAAGAAAAAAATTAGCAATAGCCAACAGTATATAATCTTGTTCATAGGAATTACGCTCTAAGCTGCCTAAGAAGTCTATTGTTCTCCAACACAAGTCGAGTATGTTCAGGGTTTCTTTCAATTCTAGCTTCTAGCATCTGAATCTCTTCTCTTAAAGCAGCATTTTCATTGATGAGATACTTATCCGCAGAGATTAACCCATCTTCAAGTAATTCAAAGCGCTTAATTTTTTCTTCACGAAACCTCAGCATCATTTTATTGCGCTGCAAATCTTCTTCTTGCTGATAAACCTACAAAATACTCAAGGATACAAAGTTGGAAAGCAATACTAACAACTTACTAAACACCAATCAGCACATTATTATGATTCTAAATTGATAATGATTTAGTAATCAGAAACGGGTGTGCAGATATCATAAGCAGACATACTAGACGATTCATCTGTTCAATTTCTGCTTCCAATCGCCTAACTTCCATCTCAACCAATTTCTCCCGTCTCAAGGCACCAAGCACCGTAGCTTTTAACTTTTCTATCTGTCACTCCATTTGTGTGAGAACACTAGGAAATTCAAAGTGTATTCTACAATGTACCAATAATAATGATAATAATCATCATCACCAACATTATCAAAATTACCTTGCTGTTTCTTCCACATGTTCTGTGATCATCATCATGGTGAACATTCATCTCATTAGACAAGTCAAATCTCTCAGGAAGATAACCTAAGCTAGATTGATCCAAAGATAGCATCAGGTGTGGAATATGCTTTGAAGAGCTATGATGCTTCATTAGAAAGGATAATTGACCCTGTATGAAGAAATCAACTAATAAGCTTGACGATTTTGGATGTTGAATAAGCACAACTGCACAAGGATAATAGAACAATACGACTTAATAATAAATACCTTTAGCAGTTGGATTTGCTGCTGCAAAATTGATACATCACCTGAAGCATCCTCGTTCACTTTAGCCTAGAAAAGTAAAAGTGTACTTTAAAAACTTAAGAACTCTCAGTGATCAAGCAAAGTTTAAATTTGGATAGAGTTCATACATTGTTCTGAATAAGTTTTGCACGTTGTGCAAACTTTAGAGTGCTTAGGGTCTCATTGGCAGAGCTGAATAGAACAAGCATAAAGCAAAAATTAGACCAATAAGATTAGAATATTATACTGAAACACTTTTTGTATGACATACCAACTAGATGGGCTAACATTCGCAATAATTGTTGTTTTTGAGTTTCCACCGAGAGAATCCTATATCCAATTTGGAACAACAAGGTTTACTTCATAAGTGATGTTAAAAGATATTTTAAACATATGAAATCTAGTGCATGAGTCCTGGGTTCTGACCTGAAGGAGAAAAGTTAGCCTGGAGTCCCTGTATGGAACATGTCTCTGTTTCCCTTGTGCCAAATCCACTAAAGACATTATCACCAGTCTACATACCCAGATACAAAGAACAATGTAAACAAGGGAGTACATGAAACGGAAATCTCATTCATCACTTCAAATAAACCTACATTAAATATCTGCAAATATCTTTGACATTTAGAAGCGAAACCAATCATGTCATTCAAACTGTCAAAATCTGCATATTCAAGCCACTAATTTGTACTTTTAATTTGTAGTGCACTTAAAAGAATAAGACATATCAAGGCTTTTCCTGCAAGGGAGGTGAAGAAGTTCCTTTTAGACATTGCCCTCTTTCAGAAAAACACTACCTATTTATTGAAGTAATGAGTTGCCACTTGCCAGCCAGATTATAAGCAAGTTAGCAATAAACTACCATATTAACTATTAAGACTCTAGAGATTTTGTCTTCTACAATGTTGGGTTTGTTGTAGTTATTGAATACTCAATGATTGACCACTAGATCATAGATTGAAGTTGTAGACACAACCTTTCAGAAAACAGAGATAAGGTTACATAAATCTTCCTTGCTTAGACCCGAATGATGTATGAATCTTGTACACTAGGTCCAACCACAAATTTTCCTCAACATATTGTTTTAGGCCCCCTTGAATTTTTGGACCGACATCATAACTCATAATTAGGTCCACTTGGATATTTTATAGGACATATAGGCTTTCTCCAATATGTTTGTTGTATAAATCAACTAAAACTAATTATAGTATTATTTGCAAGCTTTCAAAGCGGTAATCATACTCAGATTTTGTAATAGACTTAGAAAGACAAGAAGAATCAATACAGAAGGAAAGCATAATTATAAAGTACTCAAGCACTTGTATTCAGTCTAAATTCTCATTACCCAAGAGTTGAAAGGGACTTGTTTATGTTTGCTGCTTCTTTCAAACGGTCTCCATCTGCCCCAGAACTTTTCTGCCTAATGAATTTGATCTTTTATTACATGGAAAAGCATAAGATTTGACATATTCAAAATTTAAGCCAGAAATTACCTTTCAGACCCAGCTAGGTCCACTAAATTTAACCTTCCAAATCTGAAGTGTTTCATAGAATCTTTCTCCCAGCAGCTTTCAATGTTACAAGTGAAAACACTATGTGATCTGCTGCTCTCACTGTTCATATGAGTAGCTGCAATTTTTCTATTGGCTGCCCCCTGTGTAAAATATGACCATTTAGTCATGTTGATACAAGTATTTCTAAAATCTAAACGAAGGTTAAGTGATGGGTCTCACCTGTAGTAAAACCTTGAGAACATCATTAACAGAGCTTACACTGACTTCAGTAAGGTTCTCAACATATACCCCTTTCTTTAAGTCCTCTCTAAGCTATAGCACAAAGTAAAAACTTTAGTCACTGCAACGATACATAGTGTAAAACAGCTATGACAATCTAATACGAAGAACAAAATAATTACTTACATGAAGATTAGTTGATGATGGCTCAAGGAGGTCTGTGATTTGCTCATTATATATCTCTAGAAAAGAACATTTGCAGCTGAACTTCAACCTCTCAGTACTTTGTTTCTCCTCTTCCTTTAGGAACATAGCATTTGTAAGGAAAACTAGATACATAAACACACTAATCAGTAATAGAATCTAGTATATAATATTTTACCTCTCTGATTCTATTGAATAAATACTCAAAGATTCGAGGAGTTATCCCACTATGATCATTGAGTTTTCCATTAATTTGAACTATTTCACCCATCATAGTGTACGTCTTCCCACTTCCTGTCTGCAGCATATCATAGCAATATCAATCTAAGTTCAACCCCAAGATAATTATCAATCAAATGTGGAAGTTCAGCCTTGAGGCATACCTGGCCATATGCAAACATGCAGCTATTGTAGCCAGACATACAGTTTTCCACCATGGGCAACCCAGCAACACGGAAAAGCTTTTCCTGCTCAACACTCACAACAGTTATTCAAATCAAATATTTCCAACTATCAAGCATGGAGTATAATCTCATTCAGCAATCGGCAAATACAAAACCATTATAGAACGTAGACCTGTGCTAATGGGTAGAAAAGTAATTAGCACCTGTGATATGGTTTCACAAGCTACGTGATCAAAGGTGAATCTGGTTTCAGGGTGGCCAAGCCAAACTAAAGTCTGTGCACTCTCCTGCCTCAAGCATCTACCATATCCTTGCGACACTCTCTCAACATCACTTAATGGTCTAATTCTAATCAAAACCTGCACAAAATATCGCCGAAATTATTCAAATACTGTCAGTGTTCATTGCTACGGTAACTGAATGTTCCCCCTAAACTCCGAAACCAAACCTGCACGTTGTGATCTTTCCAAAACGAAGGGTCCTCAACGAGCTCAAAATGTGGCACCTCAAGTGAAGTCTCACAGTTCACGAGCGGAATCCCTCTTGAGACTCTAGACGTCAAATTACCCGCCTTCCCTCCAGTGTGGAGAGCAGATCTCGCTCCAGAAGCACCAATGTTTGAAACCCTCCTTGCAGGAGTACTTTGAGCTGAGCTCGTCTCCAAAAGAGCTTTCCCTTTATTCGCATGACCCGGAGTCCCATTTCTATTATTCGAAATGGCATGAATATCCGATGCGTCTGCTCTCTTGTCCACAGACCTGAAGGATCGAACCACTTCAGGTTTTCCCCTGGGAGTCGGTTCCAGTTCCTGGCATTGAGATGGGTCTGGAATGGAGTTGAGAGGTGTTCGTGGCGGAGGCAAAGGAATCGGGTTCAACAAATCATCGAATTCATTCTCGTTGGATTCAAATCTGGATGACTTTGCATCGTACCTAGCAATTGACGGGACAGATGGAATCTCTTTCGACATTGCTGAGCATCAACTCCTCAATTCCAGCTTGCTCTTTTGCTTGTCTTCCAGAGAAGAATTAAGAGGTTTGGGCACAGAAATTGGAGGGCGATAAGGATAGGAAACACATGGACTCGAAGGTGAAGGAAATGTTTTGATGTTTTCAATGGCAAACGCTCTCAGTATCTCTGGGGAAATGGAAACTTTCTGCAGCTTGAAAGCTCGAGAGTTGAGACACAGTGAAGAAAAAGAAAAGGTTATCCCGCTAGTTTTCAAATTCAACTGCAGATAGAATCTAGCCGGGATCATCTTCTCCCTTTGGGCCCAGCGGCCATCCTTTTATTCAAAATCTGTTTACTATGTTCCGTTTGAGTGGAGAATGATAATAACATTAGAATAACGGACAATTATTTCAATTGTAGTGCAACCAAACAACTCTATTAAAGAGTTATGAACTACTTCAAAGTTTAAATGCACTTTAAAAACAAGAGTTATGAACTACTTCAAAGTTAAAATGCACTTTATAAACTCTAACCCACGTTTGGTTTGAGAGAATTACAATTCCATTCTCACTTAATTTTTAAATAATTTTGAACGCATATAAATTCCTTTGTTTGGTTTGAGAGAATTGCAATTCCGTAAAATTTAAATTTCTTCATTTTCATAAAATTAAAATCTTATGGCCTCACCAGGACTATGTGGCCTCAGTGGAGGTGTTTTTAACCCTTGTTATTTCAATTCCATGGATTTTAGGAAAAAAAAAAAAAATTGAGGCAAAATTACCCCTCTCTTTGTTTAACCTAAATTTTATGTTTGGTCTCTCTCTTTCGATTATATAGTGTGTCTTCTTCTTCTACTCTCAACACAAAACATCAATCAGTATGTCAACATCATTCAAATATGTTTTCTCAAAACACTCTTATCTATTTTATTGATTTCATTATGCAATTCTAGAGTTTATTTACAGCATATCATTTAGGATTTCTAATAATAATAATAATATTATTATTATTATTATTATTATTATTATTAAGTATGGACATTTTGGTCTTTATACTACTTATCTCCTTTCAATTCTCATGTATACCGAACATTAGAATTGAAATTTCCAATAATCCTATTTCTATAAATCAAACACCGAAATTTAAATTACCACTTTATTCCACACTATTCATCTCCCATAAAATTGCAATTCATTTCCCCACCTAATTCCCTCCATCTAACCAAACGCCATGTAACATTTGTTATAGACATAATATACTAATAATTAAATATATTAGCATCGGCTTACCATAGTTGTTTTGTCGCCTGACTTAAAGGTCATGACTGGATACCGGATTGGATCTCTTATGCGCACATGAAAACTATTGCGCGACTTGTGATCTGCCTCCGTAGTAGTTTTAAGGGCGGGATCATGTGAGCTTAATATTAGTCCAATTTAAAAAAATAAAATAAAATAAATTAGACATTTAAACTTGAGCAAATCTCATTTTTAGTCATCGGCTAGTGTGGCATTATCACTTCTTCTTTTTTAAGGAAAAGCATTTAACTTCATTAAAATAAGTGTTCAATACACGATGAAATAGAAAGCAACCAACAAAAGATGACCAATATGAGAACGAGTGATTCTTGCTATAGAATGAGCAAACTTATTCACTGATATAGAGACACTTCTTCAAAGTGTCGTTGGAAATCCTGACACTCTTGAATCACACAACCTGTATAAGTAGGGGTGAGCAAAATTACCGAAAAAATCAATAAATCTGATAACCGAACCGACCGAAAATTTCGATTATCGGTATGTTATCGATTACAAGACCAAAAAAAATTCGATTATACGATTATTCGGTTAATTATCGATTATGGTCCTTTCAAAAAATCGGTCACCGAATAATCGATATTATATATATATATATATATATATATATATATATATATATATATAGAAGTCCACGGGCTCCACTCACTTAGTGGACATATGGACCATTTTAGTTTAAAACTTATTTCTTTTAAGGCCCAAATGCTTTCGGATTAATGCTTATTCTTGAGGCAAATTATGTTGTGCAACCATGTGCATCATGCATGGCGCACACTGTTCTATTTTCATAGTTATTGAACTATATGTTCATAATTATAAAGATATATATTCATAATTTTTGAACTTCATATTCATAATTATTGAACTCTATGTTCATAATTTTCGATGTTCATATTCCCAATTGTTGAACTCTGTATTCACAAATCACAGAACTATATGTTCATAATTTGATAACTATACAGTTTAAAAATTATGAATCTACAGTACAAAAATTATGAATCTACAGTACAGATATTATGAATTTACAGTATAGAAATTTTGAATCTACTGTATAGAAATTACGAATATCCTGTATTTAAATTATGAATCTATGGTTTAGAAATTATGAATCTACAATATAGATTTGATGAATCTACAGTATAGAAATTATTAATCTATAGTATAGAAATTATGAATCTATAGTATATCAATTATGAATTGGAATCCTGTGAATCCTGTGCACCTTGCATGGTGTGCACGGTTGCACAACATAATGTTCATATTCTTGAAATGCCCTAGCTCCTAAGTAAGTCCAAATTTTTTGAATGTTACTGACTCTATTAGATTGTAATATATGTTCAAACATACTTTCTCAACCTAATGAAGCACAAAGAGTCAGCAACGCCTTGCTCGATCTCACGGCCTTCCACAACTCCCAAGTCCCAATTATTCAATTAAACATTTGTCCACTTATTCAATTAAACATTTAATAGTCCACTTGTCTTTGTAGAACTATGTAGAACCCTGTAGAAGAAGTCTGTAGAACCCTTCCCCTCGAGATCCATTCTAACCTTCTCGAAGACAAAAACAACAAAGCAGAACCCTAGTTATTACTGTTGATTTCGACTCTCACTCGCGGAGTCACAGCCTCACAACATCTTGTAGGCACTAATCTCAGTCTCAGTCTCTCTAATTTTCTCCAACAAACCCTAGCATCTCCTCAATCATCTTCGCCTATCATCATCTCGTGCTCTCTTAGTCTCTTCCTTAGTTCTTCTTTGACTCTCACTCTACATTTTCTATGAATCTACGAGAATACGAGTAGGAAACGCACTCACCCACTCTCGGCGTTCACACGAGTCAAGTTCAATAATCAAAGCCTTTCAAAGGAATTAAAGGTAAGTCATAGACTAATTTTTATTTGAGTATTTGTTAACTTTGAATTATATAAAAAAAATTCATACGAACTCTATTAACAAAATTACAGATTTGCTCGGTTCCTCCCGTGTTCGCTGTCCAGGACTACAGTTTTGAATTTTGAATTGTGTTATGAGTTTGATTATTTGAACAATTTATTTACTGTACCTACGCATGTAATAGTACAATTTAATGTAGTGTAATTTATTGTAATTTTACATTTGTTATTTATTTTGTATTGTAAACAATGACGGTTTTTCGGTTTTTCGGTTTTTCGGTTTCGATCGGTTATGTGTGTATAGTCGGTCGGTTTCGGTCGATTATGATTCTTTAAAAGAAGTTATCAATTTTTCATTTATCGGTCGGTTATTGACCGTAACCGGCCGATGCTCACCCCTATGTATAAGAATGATCTCGTGCTTTGCCATTTAGCAACCTGCAAAGTGCAAACTGCTTGACAATCAGAATGGCTAGTTATCTTGGTAAAATCCTCTCTTTAATCCAAAAGAGTGTTTCTTGCACGACAAGAACTTCAGCTAAATAAGGATCATTTAAACATCTGAGAGACCCATTCTTTGTCGCCACAAATCCACCATCAAAGTCCTGCACAAATATGCCAAAATAAGCATTGCCCAAATCATGGAGAACTTTCGCATCAACAAAGACACGCAGCGTACCCTTAGTGATCACCGACAATATAGTAACAGCTGGTGCATGCAAACTATTCTCCTCCGCATGCGTCACAGCTTCCTGCCACTCACAGTATAGATTATAAGCCTCTACTTTGACACTAGAAGCCTGCCAAGTTTTACTATTCCACACAACATCATTTCTACTTTTCCATATACACCAGCAGATGGCGACACACTTCAGCTTTGTTTCATTTCCAGCCTAAGACAACCAGCGAGCAGTCCAAGACACCAAATCATCATCCTTATCAGGGGGATGGCAGTTCACACTAGACCACAGAGGCCTCACATGCTCGCATTCATACATTAAATGTCTCAAAGTTTTCGGATGCTGCCTACACAAATTACAGTTAACATCAACCTGTTAGGTAAAATGAGTGTTTGATGATAGGGAAGTGAGGAAACGAGATCTTCAGGCGTGTAATCACTTTCCTATAAGCTTTAAATCTCCCTCATACAAAGCAACAAGGTTCAAGATTTAATATTATGCGATACAAGAAGATGATGAAATTCTTAAGTTGCTTTGTTTTAAGAATTTCTTGTAGAAATGTAGTGTTGTGAACTTTCTCAGTTTAATGCAAGTTTATTGCATGTCTTTTTTTCAGACATTTCTCCAAGTATATATAGATGCAAAATAGCAGTTTGGAAAAGTTAATGGAAGTTACTGGAGTTCAAAAACTCAACTTCCATAATCTTATCTGATATATCAGACATGGTTAAAATAATTGTATCTTATATATTTTCATAAGATATGGACCTTCATAGGTTCATGCACTGCATATAAAATTATAAAGTAAAATATATTTATTATTGCATGTCACCATGCAAAATAATAAATAAATAAATAATATATATATATATATATATATATATATATATATATATATACTTACACGTATGCAGAAAAGTCAATGACTTTGAAAGTTAACAAATTGTAACTTCAATACCGAATTAACAACTGTAATCTAAATATGCGGCAAGGTCGAACTCTTCAGACTAAACCAAACCAACGAAGTGAGAGGTTATAAGGGCATGCTTCAAACGAATCTACTGTTTCGTTAAGCCAACGAAATGAACATTCGTTAAGCAATTGATTTATACAACCCGAAACCATTTGATTCGTTAATTAACGAATCATGCAACAATTTGTATTCAACGAATTGTGCATCAATTCGTGATTTAACGAATTGTACATCAATTCGTCAAGCTTCGATTTGATTCAACCAAATTGATTAACGCGTTGATTCGTTAAACACCAATGATTCGTTAACACCAACGAATCATTGAAATCAACGAATCGTGCATATTGTTGGAAAAATAGCATTAAAATGACATTTTAAGTGGCTATTTTGCGGTACAATTATCAGTGGGGTCCACTTCCGATTTGGGTCGGGTCAAAGTGGACTCGGGTCCGAAGAGATTGATATATTGTATGCTTAAAACGGATAATGGGTGAATGAGATATTGATTCTCAAAGTAGACCCATTGAGTTGGAAAAATGAAGGGAAAAAGTGAGCTTTTGTCCCACATTGGTTTGGAAAGAGGATTTGAACCCCCTTTTATACAAGAGCTTTTTTTAGAGCTTGTAGAATTGTATAGCATAGAGGCTCTCTCGCGCGGGAGGGGGGGTGCGGGGTGCAAATCAAATTCCAACTAGACGAGATTGAAAAGGCTTGATTCAAGCCCGAGCTCGTGTGCGCGGGCACGGATGTCGTCCGGAAATTGGCTGGCCTTGCGGGCTAAGTTATGCCAACTTTCGGTATCAGTTTTTCCAACGCACTAGCCACGGTTTCGGCCTGTGTGAGCAGCAGCATTTGTTTCGGCCTTGGGGTGGCTGGCCTTGCGGGCTAAGTTATGCCAACTTTCGGTATCAGTTTTTCCAACGCACTAGCCACGGTTTCGGCCTGTGTGAGCAGCAGCATTTGTTTCGGCCTTGGGGGCCGTATCAGTTTTTCCAACGCACTAGCCACGGTTTCGGCTTGTGAGGCCGAAACCGAAACTGAGCAGCAGCATTTGTTTCGGCCTTGGGGGCCGTATCAGTTTTTCCAACGCACTAGCCACGGTTTCGGCTTGTGAGGCCGAAACCGAAACTGAGCAGCAGCATTTGTTTCGGCCTTGGGGGCCGAAACTAATGTCTCGGCCTGGGGCCGAGACTTGGCCTAATGGCCGAAACTGATGTCTCGGCCTGGGGCCGAGACTTGCTGATGTCTCGGCCTGGGTCCGAGACTTTACAAGGCCGAAAGTTTCAGCCCCAGGCCGGACGTGGGATTAAATTCTTCAACTGCAGAATAAATTTTGGATTAATTCCAATTTCAATTTTGAATTTAAATCCCATGTAACGGTTTGCTGTTTCAGATGTTACAAAGCTAAGGTTAATGGCTTTGTTTAATGCTATAGAGTACTCCATCCCTATATAAGAAGGGTAGAAGGCAGAAGCTTTTATACACCAAGAAAACACAGAGCTCTACACGAAATTTGTTTTCAAGCTACAAAACACTTCTGCTTCTACTCCTTTCTTTGCCTAATTGTGTTCAAGGCTGTTGCTCTAGTTCACCGGGTTCGTTCGTTTGGGTGCTCAAACGTCGAACCGTAACACGTTTTATCTTGGGAAACCTAGGCCACGGCGCTCCTAGCACTTTTGGGAGGTGGCAAATCAGGTTTTAAGGAAAGAGTGGTCTCTTGACTCACGCTAAAAACCCTTACCCAAACACGAGTCATCTTTTCCTTCTCTCGGTTTTGGATTATGCTTCTAAGCAAAATCCGTTCTTCATATTTGTTTTGCCGTTGGATTGGACCTATAATCTGAGGATTATTTGTTCCTTTTTGGTTGATATATATTGGTATATCTTTTTCGTAGATATACATATATATACATAACCGTTGGATCCGTTTTATATATATTTGTGTGTGTGTGTGTATATATATATATATATATATATATATATATATATATATATATATATATATATATATATATATATATATATTTCGGATAAATATCAAATAATATTTTATATACTTGTGTGTGTATATATAAATATTATTTTACGATATTAAATTAATTTTGGTTCATTATCACCCACACATATCAATCTAAGTATGATTCGGTTCCTAACGTACGCAATATCCATATTTACTAACTTTCTTTCTACCAAACTAAAATAATAGTTATAACACCACAACTCCAAATATTATTTAAGCTTTCATGGTAATCCATTTGAAACACTAATCTCCATTACTATATAAATTTCCAACACAACCTCCATCCTTCTTGCAGCTAGGGTTGTCATTGACTCATAGTAGGTAAAACTCCATGCACACAAAGGCCAGAGAAAATTCTGAACCTTCGGTGGGATCTTCAACTTCCAAATATCTCTCCAGATCGGAAGAGAAATTGTGTCCACAACATGCAACAAAGATAGCACTTTATATCCATGTATCACATCATACATACCACTAACATCACCCCCTCCAACACTAAGGATCTTCAAATTGAGCTGCCACATGGAGTTTCGAGATTTGCTCCAAATCCCGAGCCTCAAAGAGCTCATTCAGAAGAACCACGTCCCAATCTTTTGTATCATGGTTAATCAAGTCATGAACCAACATGTTTTCATTATAATTCGGACAAGGAGTTCGAATAAAAGGATATACCTCATCAGGGAGCTGAGCCAGAGATGTTTCCAGATCAAGGTTTATCGCGAACAACCTTGGCTCAAGATTTCTTACCCAGCCATAATGGAATGCCAACAAACCTTACCATTAAATTCAACCCTTCAACAAGCAAATAAAAATCATGTAATGTAGCAAAATTTTAGAAGTAGGAATAAATATGATAATATCTCTGAATTTGAAATTTGCTCATTTAATACCATGCTAACAAATTTATTATGTACGACTCGGATGAATTTATATTAATTTTATAAATTGTCTAATCTAATTACATGTGAAAAAAAAAAGAAAAGAAATTGCAATCCAATAATGATTTTCTCCCTTTAACATACCATGATATTTGTGAAGCATGAGATTGTGTACATGGAATTTTAAGACACAAACATTATGCACATATATAGCCTCAAATTTGGAAAGTTTATACATAATCTCGTAAATTATGATTTTTTTTTTTTTTTTTTTACAATTATATGTCAAAAAATAACAATGTAAAATTAAAATTTACTTATAAAACATAATGACTCGTTTGGTAAAATAGTTAACATATATCAGTCAATTTTAGCTTATTTAATCATTCAAAAAGCTATTCAAAACAACTTGTTCAATTAGTTTTTTGAGAATAGAAATTATACTAAACAACTATAAATTAACAGTTAATTTATCAAACACATTTCTACCATTAACTAATGTTATCAACTAGTCATACTTTATAATCCAATCAACTAACAACCATTTATTAAACATGACCAATATAAATAAAAGTGGTAAAATCAAACCATCTCATGATCCCTATGTGGAAACAAATATTGCTTACACTGTCGTTTTACACTTGAGTAATTAGTATCACGTTACACGAAATGGTTGTCACATATTGTTGTCATTATTATAGGCAATTGTCCATATATATCAACTCCCAAGTGAAGGGTAAAAAACAAAGAGGAAAAAAAAAAAAAAAAAAAACAAGAAAGAAACAAATTGACCATTGTTCGGCTTTCGGAATGCCCCGTTTGACTTGAACAACTGAGCAAGCTTCCGCTGTTTAACTTTGGTGTGTCGTCGTCTGAGTCCGTCGACGGGAGCTGAAGGCCGGTGCTGCATCGGTAAACCTAACGGAATGATGGGACGTCTCTTTGGAACCACCATTTCTCTTCACTAGACCCTCCAATTATATAGATCTGCTTTCTAAGACCAGAGGAATTGCCCTAGCTGTGTTAGCTGCACAAGGTAAAATTCCTTCTCTTTAACCCCTCATTTTCATTTGCATATTATCACTCAGATCTCGTGCATCTGTAGCATTTTCTCCTGCTCTGTAAAGAGCATTGTGCTATTTCTCAACCTTCTTGACCAGCTTCTCAGGGATGCGCTGGTTTAGGGTATAAAGATACATCAAGGCTTTTGGCATGTATATACCCCCATTTTCACCTCATTTGGGTTTGTGGGGAGCTGGGAGCTGATATGCATTGCCTCCTAATGTTAACAAATGCTTTCCTACCAAACCGAATCGTTCTTAGTGTAGTACTAATTGGCCAGCTCCGTATTGCCTTGCTTTATATTTAGCATCGAGCTCCTTTTCCAGGCAATGGAGAGTTCTTCGTCAAATGGATATAGGTTTCGGAGAATTCCACGCCAGACCTTTGCGTCTGTTCTGAATTTAGACCCGCTGGTGAGTTTTAAGTTTCTCTCTTCCCCCCTCATTCTTTTTCAATCGGTTTTCCCCTTGTATGTTAATCCCTTGTATAGTGATATTTGACTGTCTCATGGATTGACTTTGCATGTTTTATTTGGAGGGAAATTTGAGTAAAACTTGATAATCATTTTGGTGGGAAAATGTTATTGGGCTGCAGTCTGACTTGAAGAAGGATTCGAAATGCATTATCCATCAGAACCTAAGAAGTTTAATCTGTATCTCCGAAATGTGCTAGCTGGGGATCTACTGTTTAAGTCGATAATGATTTTTGCAAGGATTTTTCATGAGCAATATTTCAAAGATTAATTGATTGGCTTGAATAAAATAGTATTCCTCTGTGATTGAGTAGAAAGCTATTCTGTGACGCATTGTTGGCTACTTCCAAATTCCAATAGGTTGCAAAGTGTCTGTTAAAATGCATAATGTATAATAAGGTTCCTCTCCTGTAATTTATTGAATAGTTTCATCCTACCCACCTGGCAAAAGAATTAGGGGTCAAATTTAAGAGTTCTTTTTTGACCTGAATGTTGTGGAACAATCAACAATAGATAGAAAGTGACCTGGTAGAGTACCTGAGAGCTAAGTGAGCAAAAGATGTCAAATAGGTCTCTAATATATCATGTTTATATATCTCATAGTAATTAAGCATGGCCTTAGAGGCAGCATTGTGAATGACTGTCACCAGAAGAATTAGGGGTCAATTTAAGAGTTTGTTTTGACCTGAATATTATGGAACAGTCAACAATAGATAGAAAGTGACCTGGTAAGTACCTGAGAGCTAAGTGAGTGAAAGAGGTCAAATAGGTCTTCAATATATCATGTTTATATATCTATAGTAATTAAGCATGGCCTTAGAGGCAGCATTGTGAATGACTGTCACCGATCTGTATCATGATTCAGAAACCACTAGTCTAGAGTAACATGAAGGATGTAGAATGTTTGTGATGCTGCTAAGAATAGATGCATTATTAATTGTCATCCTGCACTCTACTCTGGATATCAGTCTTATGTTGCTAACCTGATTGGATTATTCTTTAGATTTCGTCAAAATAAAGTAGGTGTAGTTCTTTTTTTTTTTTTTTTTTTTTTTCCTGGGTTGCTTCCCTATTTATGGGTGAAGACAAGTAGGATAAATTTATAGGTTGGTTCCCTACATTTTGTTTGGGCTTATTTGAAATGAGAGGAACAAATGAGTTTTTGAATGTCATCAATCCTCACTGAAAATTGAAGTGTTTTTTTTTTTTTTTTTTTTTTTTTTTTTTTTTTGCATACATTTTTCCTTTGAACTTAATGAAAGTGTCCTATTAATGCTCTTTCATTGATTGATTTGTTAGATGTGGTCAAACATGTATACTGTTTTCCATGCTGCTGTTTTCTTTTGCTTTACGATATGTCAATATCTGTATTTTGGCTGGGTGGTTGTGAGGATACCTAATTGGTGTCTTCAATATTACCTCTCTACTTATAGAAAAAAATGATACAATTTTTATCCTTATGCTTAACTGTAATCATTGTTGTTAAGGCATCGCCTAGGCGTCCGGTCGCCTAACGAGCTCGCCTCGCCTTACAAAAGAAAACTCCTACCAATACGTAGCTGGGAGCCTGAGACGCTGACTCACCCCTCCCAACCTCTCCTTAGTGGTTGTTTACTTTGTTTTATGGCAGGTTATGGTTGAGAATGAAGATAACCCCTATTATGATCCATCAACGGATCCTAAAGGAAGGCTAAATCTAAAGACCCATGCTGGAAATGCTAAATTATTGCATAATTTAGTACTTATTGTTGAGATTTGAGAATATGTTTAAATGCTAAAATACTAAATTATGAATTGATATATATATATATATATATACACTCATCGCCTAGGAGCCCGCCTAATTGCCTAGGCGACTAGGCGTTCAGTGGCACCTCGCCTTGAAAGTCTGCCTTAACAACAATGACTGTAATATCCTTTTAATTTCAATTTTTTACTTTTTCTTTGATAGGTAATTTTCTTTTCTTAACTGATTTTTTTCATCATGAATGCAGCTTGATGAAAAGTTGGAGCAGTGGCCCCATTTAAATGAACTTGTTCAATGCTATAGAACTGATTGGGTAAAAGATGATAGCAAGTATGGTCATTATGAGAGCATTGGCCCTGCTTCATTTCAGAGTCAGATATTTGAAGGTCCTGATACAGATATTGAAACAGGTAGGATGAACAAAACTGGTGGTGGCTAGGGTGCCTTCATGTAAATTTTGTGTTAAGTGGATGTATGGTATATTAAGTGGAACTTTTGCACGAAACTCAGTAACTCACAGAAAACAAGTACATAACTTGCTGAGGAAAGTTAGTGTATCTTCTTCAGCATCTGGGGATTGGCTTTTCAATTTCTCATGAAGTAGACTCTGATTTCCTGGGAAAACTGCTTGCTAGCCTCTTGATAGATATCTTGTGCTACCAAAAGTTTCATTTAAGTGGAGTTTGCATCTAACTTATTTTTTATTTGCTGATGTATCTGAATACAACATACCTAAAGGATTCTCAGTGTGCTGTAATGCTATGTGCATTTTTTTAATTAATTTTTTTATGCAACCCTACCAGTTCTTAAGTTTTAGAGTGTTTGCAGAGATGCATCTTGGCAATGCAAGGCAAACTAAGATTGATGATTCTTTTGAGGGAGAAAACCCAAGTACATCAGGGGCACAGTTGACTGAGGCTAGCTTGTCTGATTTATCAAATGCCAAAGTCTCTAAGGTTGTTCCTTACATATATCACAAGTATATTCATAGATATAATACACTTTCATGTCTTTCTAACTGTCTAAATAATTTACTTGCAGCATTTTGGTGAATCTCCTTTGCCCGCTTATGAACCAGTTTTTGACTGGGAAAATGAAAGGTCAATGATTTTTGGGCAGAGGATTCCAGAAGCTCATATGTCCCAATACACTAGGTTTTACAATTATTTTTCAACTTTCATTTGTCTTCATTTCTCTTGCTTTGAAGTTTCTTATTTGGCATATGTTTTTGTGGTTGTAGTGGACTAAAGATTGCTGTCAGGGTTCTATCCTTGTCCTTCCAAGCAGGATTAGCTGGTGGGTCTGTAATTTGGATTGTGAATACCATTATTAGTTTGTTTTCTACATTTCATCATTATTTATTTATTTTTTGCACTTTCAAGCAACCACCATTTCTTTCTCTGAGTTTCTGAAGTTTTCTTGTAGAGCCGTTTTATGGGACAATTTGTTTATATAATAGGGAGAGAAGAGAAAAACTTTCCGAAGATTTTCTTTTCCGAATATTGCCAGCTGAAATGCAGGATGTAAGCTTGACAAAGTTTTATATATAATACATGTACATACTTCACGCTCGTGAACAAACACACACACACACACACATACTGTTTTGCATGATTTTTAAAATCTAATATTTATTTCTAATGGGTCTTACAGTGCAAGCTGACTATTATTCTGTTCCTTGTGATGTCATTACCAGGCAAGCACTTCTTATGAACGGCGTGCTGTTTTTCATCTAGATGCCCCATCAGCATCAGTTTGTCTGTTAATCCAACTGGAAAAACCTGCCACTGAAGAAGGCGGGGTGACCCCCTCTGTATATTCACGAAAAGAATCAGTAAGCATTGTCCCTTAAAAACATCTAAATATCTAATCAATTAATTGCTTTTGTCTTTGTTGAAGATAAACATAAAATATTGTATATCCTCTCTAATGGCTTAAGCTTATAATTGAAATATAATACATCGTTCAATATGATGTCAAAGAGTAGGCAAAATGTCTTGGGTTTGAATCCGACGTGCTACATTCCATCAAAATATTTCCATGTGTTTGACCATCAAAATGTATTTGGCTCATATTAAAATAAAAGAGTTTTTTTTTTTTTTTGGGGGGGGGTGGGGGGGGGGGTGGGGTGGAGGATGCTTTGAGGATCAATAAAAACTTATTGCATTAGTTCACTACTTCACTTACCTGCTGTTTGACATGTCTATGAAGTGTTGTCGTCCCATGTTGAGAAGTTGTGGGTGAAGAAATGGACAGAGATGATGATACTTTATCATCTTACTATTAGACAATGTGCCTTGCATGGATATGCTATGCATTTCTTGTGGATCATTGATCATTGAAATTAATCAGGTTCTACAGCTTTGTTATGATAAATAATAATAATATGCAGAATCACAGATGCAAGAAAAGTTCCTTTCTTGATATTTTTGATTATCTGAAAATATATATAAAAGCTTCTTTGAGGACTACTTTATTTGGCAAACTATAATAATGAAGGTATTGAAGGAGTCAGGAAATTTTTGTTGGGGTTTCTGGGTGTGATATACTACTGTAATTCTGTGTGCTTGTCTTTTGGTTCACTTATGGCATTAATGCTTTATGCAATTATGCCCTATGCCTATTTGATGATAAGATCTTGATCACTTTACGGGCTCTGAACTAATTTCTACCTAAACAGGTTCATCTGACTGAGAGAGAGAAACAGAAATTACAAGTATGGTCTCGCATCATGCCTTACAGAGAGTCTTTTGCCTGGGCCATCATCCCACTATTTGATAGTGGGCTTAATGCTGCTGCTGCTGGGTCTAATTCCCCTAGCAGTCCCCTTTCAACAAGCATTTCAGGTTCTAGTTATCAAGAGGGTGCTGTGGAGCCAATCGCTAAGATCACATCGGATGGAAAGCTTGGATATTCAAGTGGAAACTCTATTGTTGTTGAAGTGTCTAATTTAAATAAAGTTAAAGAAGGCTACACAGAGGACTCACTGCAGGTTAACTCAATATGCTTCATTTATTATCTCGTGCTCTCTCTTCTACTTGTCCACACATTTAAAAATTACTTGGTCACTTAATAGTGTCATTTAGAAGGGAAAGCTTGTTGAGTGGAAACAGTCAGAGGTTTTAGTGTTTCTAGTCCAGAGGATATAAGGAGGAAAAAAACAATTCTTCTTTAATGGTGAAATGGGTGGCAATAGAGAGGCTTGGAAGTCAAGGAAACATGATGATTGACGTGGAAACTATGGATGTGTTGAGTAACTGGAGAGCTTTTCAGTTTTCTTGAAAAATGGAAACCAGAGTTTTCTGCTAAAAATAAACTGTTTCCCAATATAGAAAATTGGAGAGTTCTCCATTTTTTCAACTTAACAAACAACTTATTCAAAAACACTTTTTTACTTTTTTCAAAATTCTCCAAATACTAAAACACACATAACTCATCATCACCATTACCATTACTTAAATGAACTTCTACCCCCCATCTTCACCTACCTACCTATCACCACGCATGGTTGCAGTAGGCGCTAGGCGCTAGTCGGGCACTAGCGCCCGGATAGCGCCTAGGCGGCGCTAGGCGGGTGCCAAAAAAACAGTGGTAGACTTGCAGTTTGACAATTTTAATGAGGTTGTTTTCAACCTTTAATCAAATAACACATCCAAATAAATGAATTAATGATAATTCATAAGTCATAACATCAAAACAATGGTTTTCAAAAAAAAATAAAAAAATTAAAACAATATTAAAAATTAAAAATACTCAAATATGAAATACTCAAATACTTCAATCACCCAAAGATTCAAAGTATCAAACTAGTCTACGAGTGTATATATGTCATATTATATATATGTATGCGCGCGTGCGCACACACACACACACATATAATAAAAAAAATAGGCCGAGCCGATCGGGTTAACTTGACCGAAATGGACGAGTTAACTCGACTAACTTAGACGCTAGGCGGCCAAATCGGCCGAGTTAGGCGCTAGGCGGACGCCTAGGCGGCCGGTAACCTAGGCGGGCGCCTAAGGAGAAAATCGCCACGGTCTAGAGGCGCCTAGACCGATTTTTACAACCCTGGCGACACCACCACCACCACACGTCCACAACTGCCTTTATAACAATCATCACTTCCTTCCACCCACCATCGCATGCCTACCTACTACCACCCACCTATTTATGTACCCTAAACCTAACTACCTATACCATGCACACTACCTACCGCCACCGCTATCTTCATTATTATCATCGCTTACTTTACCCCACCACTATTTGTCTATCTTCACCCCCACTTGATAAAATGTCACTAATATTTATATATGAAAAAAAAATTGGAGCTTGAATGATTTTGTAATTTATAAATTGAAAAATAATTGAAATTGATCACGTTTTATAGTCTTTTGATGAAAAATAAAAACATTGCAAAATTTTGGAAAACTGGAGATGAAAAGTAGAAAACATTTTCTTTTTGCTAAAGAGGCCCTATGGTTCTTGAAGAGAAATGCATTCTTAGCTCAAAGGAAAAAAAGAAAAGAAAAATATAGAACCACACACATGCACTTTCTCAGAGGACTTTTTGACCTTAAAATGTATTTTTGCTTCTTTATCTATAGAAACCTTAGGTTCCTATTAGTATTACATGCATTTTTTCTATTTCTTGTCATGAAGCCCATATGCTTAATGTGTTTTTGTATTTTTCTTCTACTTATTTGCTCCTCCATTAAAGATTCCAACTTATAATTCACTCCTTTTCTAAAAATATTTTGCTCGAATGCTGCAGGATCCTAAGCGAAAGGTTCACAAACCAGTTAAAGGTGTGCTGAAACTGGAAATTGAAAAACTGCAAACTAATTCTGTTGATTTTGAACACATGGAAAGTGGGAGTGTGGTCTTTGATTCTGTTGAAAATGGACCTCTAAATGCCTTTTCTAAGTCAAATTCCTTCGAGAGGAAGGAGCTAACTAGAAATGGATCAGTTGGCAATGAAAATCCAGATGTTGCCTCTGCTGATGTAAGTCTTTTATATTGCTTCTTCTGAAAGCATTTACAAGCACAGACGGCACAGTTATTACAAGATGTTTTTTCAGAAAGGGCACTCAACTGACTAATTATATAGGCAATCTCATTAGAAAGTTCTATAATTTGTTTCTAATATTAAAGTTTTGTTTGGAATTTTATTAGTGTATACACTTATTAAAATTAACTATTTGAATTTACAGTTTGAAGCTTTTGACTTTCGCACTACAACAAGGAATGAACCGTTCTTGCAGCTTTTTCACTGCCTCTATGTCTATCCCTTGACTGTAAGCATGAGTAGGAAAAGGAATATGTTTATACGGATTGAACTCAAAAAGGATGATGCGGATATTTCTAATCCACCTCTTGAGGTTTGTGTATATGACAATACTTTCAAGGAAGATTTCCTTCTGGACTGTATATATCTTGGTTTTGAAGTAATTTAACAGTTTTCTTCATGGACTGAGCCCTGAGGTGTAGTTGAGTTTTGAGTTAACAATAATGTCACAGGCAATGCATCCTAGGGCACCAGGTGCATCACTTCAGAAGTGGGCTCATACACAGGTTGCTGTTGGAACTAGGGTTGCCAGCTACCATGATGAAATTAAAGTTTCTCTGCCTGCTATTTGGACACCAATGCATCACCTTTTGTTTACATTTTATCATGTTGACCTTCAAACAAAGCTTGAAGCTCCAAAGCCAGTGAGTAGTTTTTAGAATTTCAAGGAGAATGTGATCCTACCATGCCTTGCAATTATACTTTTTTCTAGGTTTAAATTCTCTAATCTAGTTTGCCCTTCACTCAATCCATATTGTCAGATCAGGCCTAGCATCAATAAAAGATTCCATGTCCCTCAAAAAACAATTATATGTTTAATTCTCTGTAATGTGCAATTTATTGTTTTTTTAAAATTCATTTTTGCAGGTAGTAGTTGGATATGCATCACTTCCACTATCCACTCATGCTCAGTAAGTTTCTTTTCTTCAGGTTCTGTTTTTTATCTTTGACTATATCATGCTTTATCTCCCCATTCTTCATAGAATATAGCGAGCTTGAATTAAATGTAGTAAACCTGTTTCTTAAAAGAATTTAGTAATTGTGTTGCTGCTTAACTTTGTTCCTTCTGATGATTCCCTTTTTTATGCAAGTTTTCTCTAATGTACTTGAGTAATGTACTATGTACTAGTTCAAGTTAAGAACTTTTTCAAAGAAAACATGCATTATTGTTCAAATCTCCCTTTTTAATCCACATTTCTTCTTTTCAACTGGTGCTTGGTGTTAGGGTTGACTAACTTGTGTAGCTTTGGAAATCAATTCAGATTTGATTGGCATGTCTTTCTGTTGTTTCTAACCAAGTAGCAGTAGAATTCCCCTGTTTCTTAACCTCAAAGGACTTAAATATAGCTTTGAAGAAAGTTTTCCTATCTAAAACCATTCTCACTTACTCTCTCTAGCACTATTATTGCCAAATCCTATACCTTTCAATTCTATCTAAGAAGGATTTTATTAAATGGCTAGTAGTTTGGAGGGTAATTGATTCAGAGGTAACATATATTATTGTTATTGCCATAAAGCTTGTATATGATACTAAGTGAATCAAGCAAAAAATTATATATGTTTATCTGTGAGAGCTTCCTCTTTTTCTGTTTTTTTTTTTTTTTTTTTTTTTTTTGGAAGTTCTTTTTCTCTGGGAATAGTTGAGTTCTTCATTTATAAGAGAAAGTGCCTTAAGCACCTTCATAGTGAATCACTCAATGTTCTGAGACATTACTGGTTATTTTCATTTTTTTTAAAGAAAATATTTTTCTTTTTTCATTTTTCCAATGTGCCATTGTTCCTCACTCAACTGTAGAAGGAAAATGAGGTAATAGATTCCATAGATATAAGTTAATGGCATAATAGTTTTACTTTAAAAATTTGCATAATAGTTGCAAAGTTACTATAGCATTTCTATTCTGCTGTATGCTTTTTAGCTCTTCTGTTTGTCTCTGACTAATATAAATTTTGACAATTTAAACTTATACTCTTATTCATATCTTTAAAGACAAGTTTTATGACTTTGTGTTCCTTAATTCAGGCTCAAATCTGAGATCTCCTTACCGGTTATGAAGGAGTTAGTTCCTCATTATCTCCAAGACAGTGGCAAGGTGTGTCTTCAGTAGTTTGTTGGGTTCCTTCTTTTCCCCTGCAAGTCTTTGGACTGCTGTCCAGCATAATTAATTAGACTTACTCTTCATTTTTTCTCTCCCCTCCTTCCCCTCACCAACTTTGATGAACTTCTGCTTTAGGGCACCAGGGTTCATGATATTATATGCATTTCTTATGACTGTCTCACTTTTATTTTCTATTCTAACACCCCAAAAAGTTATCATAAATAGGCTGCAAATTCATTGTAGTAGATTTGTAGGTCATGCTAACTCTTCTTTTATATCCCAATTCTGTTGGATTTTGTGCATCTGTTTAGGTGTCCTCATTACAGTTGCTACTGTAAGAATCATTTTGTTCTATTTTTTCTTGCTGATTTGTATATCAATTCATCTTTGCTCCTGAATTCTTTCTCAGGAGAGGTTTTTTCTTGCTGACTTGTCTATCAATTCATCTTTGCTTCTGAATTCTTTCTCAGGAGAGGTTGGATTACATAGAGGATGGCAAGAGTATTTTCAAGCTCCGCTTACGACTATGTTCCTCTTTATACCCTATCAGTGAACGAATTAGGGATCTTTTCCTTGAATATGACAGACACACTCTTCGAACAAGTCCACCGTGGGGATCTGAGCTTCTTGAGGTACATGTTTATTTACTTGGACATAGACATATGCTTGTCTGTAGCTGTACCCAAATTTATGGATAATACTACACACCCAGGCATATCCATAGATACATGGGGCTCACCAGATGCACTACACTCACTATTCACATGCGAGCATTTGGAGTTCTCAAGTTAAGCTCTAATGATCATGGAATGAATAATAGTTATTTCTCATTTGTTCTTCATTCTAAGGAGTTGTTGAACTGAATAATAATGGTTAAGTGGTAGATTGAGGAAGTGAATAAAGTGTTTTGACAGTTATGAAGAATTCAAAACAACTGTCTTAAAATCTTCTTAAAACAGTGTCTTGTTGATATTAGGTATATTAAGGAGTTGAATTATAACCTGAACTCTAATAAAGCTACTTTCTATCAAAAGGTAAATAACTATGGAGCTATCATCCATGTGCAGTTGGTATATGGTTGTTATCTTGTCCAACTCGCACATAACAAATGAAAGACTTGCTATAGACGAATGGACATATTGTTCTTTTACAGATTTTGAAAAGGCTGTAATAATATCCAAAAACTCCGCTTACCTTGAACCATCTTTCTTACTATAATCAGAATGAGGCATCCACAGACGATCTTATGGACTTGAGATACTTTGTCTACAATTATAATTATAGAGTTCTCAGAATTAGTTTAGATTGTATGGTAAAACTAAATAACTAAAAAAGTGTTTTAGCAAATAGAATCATGATATTATTGTTCTAATCTAGAAACCATGGGAAGATTACATGCTATACTTCAAATTTTAGAATATAGTCAATATACACATCCTTAGCTAAATATTAGCTAAAAATTCGATTAGACTTTCAGTTCTGATGTGTAGTCTATTCATATTATTTTGATTTATGGACTTGAATAAATTATAGAGTTCTCAGAATTAGTTTAGACTGTATGGTAAAACTAAATAACTAAAAAAATGTTTTAACAAATAGAATCATGATATTATTGTTCTAATCTAGAAACCATGGGAAGGTTACATGCTATAGTCAATATACACATCCTTAGCTAAATATTAGCTAAAAATTCGATTAGATTTTCAGTTCTAATGTATAGTCTATTCATGTATTCATATTATTTTGATTTATGGACTTGAATAAAGGGGTCAGTGGTTCTTTGGGAACCTAAGAGTTACTACTGTAGTCCATTCTTCTCATGGCTTCTCTTTCTATCAGTATTTTTTCTACTTTGAATTTTCTGAAATTTAAGTTGAGGGGCATAGTTAGAAACTTAGAATTTGGTGTTATTTAGTTTTTATGTTACCTTCCTTTATAAACACACTTGACAGATGTAAGTGCTTTATATTTTCCCAAATCCCAATGCACTTGAATGAATTTCTGTTGTAGTGTATCTGCTGAGTTGTGGAAGAACTAAATAAGAGTATTATTTCTTAAATTAATAATTAGTAATTTACTGTCTTCTCTGCCCAACTTTATGATGCGAAATTAAAATTCTGTAATTCTGTTGCAGGCCATTAACAGTTTGAAGAATGTTGATTCTACAGCTTTGCTTCAATTTCTGTATCCAATTTTAAATATGCTTCTTCATCTCATAAGCAATGGTGGAGAAACCCTTCAGGTTTGCTAACAGAATTTGCTAGTAATTATCTAAATGATTATCTTTGTAATATACCTGGCTTCTTTAATTCTTCTATTTTCTTTCTCTTCTTCCTTCATTATTTATACACTGTTCAGATCCATAATGCATTTCTTAAAATTTAAATACTGTCTTAATTTTATTTATTTTTATTGCATTTACTTCTTCAGGTTGCAGCCTTCAGAGCCATGGTTAACATTTTAACAAGGTACACTTGTCAATATTTGTAGGACTATTGTTTTCTATGTGAGTATGGTTAAGAGGAATTGAGATATCACTAGGTGCATCTTGCATATGTGCTTTTGGAGTTTTGGATTTGCATCATATCTTGTTGGGCATTTATTTTTAAGTAGGGCTCGTTTTCTATGCCTAATACTTGGGCAGTATTTTTTAGGGTACAGCAAGAGTCAGTTGATGAAGCTGAAAGAAATGTTTTCCTAGTGAACTACGTAGACTATGCTTTTGACGATTTTGATGATCGCCAACCACCAGTTTATCCTGGTTTGTCAACAGTCTGGGGAAGTTTGGCTCGGAGTAAGGTAAGTTTCTTAATTGCTGTAGGTTTCTCTTTTGCAAGATATTTTGCATTCATAATAATTCACCTGGATGATTAGCTTTTTGGAGTTCTTGTCAATAAAATATATCAAAGGAAGATGTTGGATAACTTAAAGATATGTAGATTTCTTGTTTACACATGCTATGAGCTCAAGGGTCATTGGTTTCTTTGAAGAATCATAGTTTCTGAATTGACACATGGCTAAATATCCTGAGTTTCTTCTGTTACCTCTCAAGCCTATGAATACAAGGGCTATTGAAAGCTTTCTATGAGTAGTCAAGTTTTCAATCTATCTTATTTATTGTTCTACTCTTATCTCTTGCTTAACACATTGACCTTCTGCCTTAGCAGTGGGTCATTGATATTTTCCGTGCTCCGTACCTCTCAACTCATTATTTCTTAACAGAAGAAAAAAACTACTTCGTAAATTGTTATGATGTTATTTACATTTGTTTAATAGTTATGCTTTCAAAGTAGTAAAGCAGATACATATCCACATTTAGACTTAATTATATTTTTTGTTCAGTAAGAGATAGCTTGCTACATAATGGTATGGCAAGCTGAAATAGACCTTGAAAGCATTGAAGCACTGAATATTTAAAAAATCACCTCAACCAAATGTCTAAATGTTAACATCATATGTTTTAATCCTTGAGAGTTCTCACTTTGTTGCTGAATGCTCTTATGAATAAACCTCACAAATTGCATTCTAGGCAAAAGGCTATCGTGTTGGACCTGTATATGATGATGTCTTGGCAATGGCTTGGTTTTTTCTGGAGTTAATTGTCAAGTCAATGGCTTTGGAGCAGGCTCGATTATTCTATCACAATATTCCATCAGGTATGTGACTATGTTCTCACTGTGACTGAACACTGTATATCTGCCTTGGCTCTCTTTGTTTGGAGTGGTTTAACAATTCAATTAGTTTTGTCTTGACTTTTATGCATTTGCATTGTGTGAATGAAAAGATGATCTAATTGGATGCTTTGAAAACTTTCACTTATTGATTTCAATTTGAAAGATAAATTAGACCGGTGAAGCATGTTCCATTGCCTGAGATATTAACTTCCTGGGTTCCAACTGTGAGTTAATGTCATCCTTGGTCTAGTTATGAAAAGTGAGAAAAGTTCTTGCAAAGCATTGGGTCTGAAATTGTCTGTATTTCTATCTATTTTCTGAATCTGCATGTAGCACACTAAATTTCCCAATATTGTGTATATTTGCTGATATTGTCATGTCTGAAATGTTCTGCAATTTGATTCATTTGTTGAAATTGCCAAATGTCTGAAATATTCTGATATTATAGCAACATTTTTATTTATGGTCCTTTGATTTGTATAGTTGCCTTTGATTCATACCTCATTGCTATGTTGCACTTTGTGTGAAGCATTTTTTTTAAGTGTATGTATATACATTCAATATGTTAAAATTTGATTTTGTAGCATTGTGTTACTTTTTGTGAAATAGTATGAAGTATCACTTTACTTTGTGCTTTAAAGTGATTTGGACCTTATTTCTTCCTTGCACTTTTTTGTTCTTAACACATTTGCGTAGTGGAGTTACTAAGTGGATCAATCTTATATGGCATTTTCTATGTGATAGAGGTAAAAACCTTAGCCAGATTGTCTTTTTTGATGAGTAAAATAATCAAATTAGAGGTACCCTCTGTAGCTTCTGAAATGAGCAAGAACAATTCTCAACAATCAACATCTACTCTAGCCAAGTTCACCTTGACATATTATATTTCTGACCTAAATTCTTGTCAAAATTGACAAGAGAGTTAACATTAGAAGGCTTGGTGTCTTTAGAAAATAAGATGATCTCATCTGGAAAATCCAGTAGTAACATTATGGTGAACTACTTCATGATTTTCAGGCTTCATCATCTTCTCTAGTAAACATTGGCTACTCCAAGAGAAAAGGACCTTTCTTAAGATCATTTTCAACTTACTTCATTCTGGGGTTCCTTTTGAAACTGAAAAAGAATTTGAGATATGCCCTTTTAATGCAGTTTTCCCTTTTTTGCTCAAGGACTATTTTATCTGTGCTAGCCTCGCTGTTATAATTGAATTTATCCTGTATTGCATTTTTACCTCTCTTCTTTCACATTTTCATCACAGGTGAAGATGTGCCCCCAATGCAACTGAAAGAAGGCGTTTTTAGGTGTATTGTACAATTATATGATTGCCTTTTAACGGAAGTTCATGAGCGTTGCAAGAAAGGTCTAAGCTTAGCCAAACAGTTAAACAGCAGCCTGGCTTTCTTTTGTTATGATCTTTTGTCAATCATTGAGCCTCGCCAAGTTTTTGAACTGGTATGCGTCATTCTTGGTTCTTCTGGGAATTGACTTTTTCCTTATAACATAGCTGTATTCTGCAGCTCTGCTCCATCATATGTGGAAATGTTCTGGTGCAGATGCAGATTAAAAATTTTCACATGGGATGCATATTGCAATTTCATGCTCATTTGAATTCACCAGCAGTATATTTCCCATTATTTTCATTACTGTTTATTGCTTACCTGGCAGACAAGCCATTGCTAGATGGTCTCTTCTCACTATTAATGAATGACCATTTTGCTTTTCAAGTTTGTTCAAGAATTTAAGGTCCTAGGTTCACTTCTTACTTTCCTCCTAAAAGTCTAGGCTTTGTTTTTAGGAGAAGTATTTTTCCTTCTTCCTCCATTCTTCCATCAATGCCAAACTCATTTTCCTATATATTTCTGTTCCATTTAATAGTCACTTTTTGTTTTAGTTTTGCTTACCTACAATTAAAGGCATTTGGCTTGTCTCTGCCCCTTCAGGTGTCCTTGTACCTTGATAAGTTCTCTGGGGTGTGTCAATCAGTGCTGCATGATTGCAAGCTAACATTTCTCCAGATATTATGCGATCATGATCTCTTTGTGGAAATGCCTGGACGGGATCCTTCAGATAGGTGAATTTTCAAAATTGCCTTATCATCTAGTAAATTTTTTAATAGAATACTCACATTAGTCATTTTATGGATAAAATCATCTATTTAGTTATTTCATTTATTTATTTATCCTTTGATAAGTAAAGACATTAAATTAAGCAGATACCAAGGGTATCGCCCTGAATAGAATAATGGATACACAAATGGCCTCCAAGCAAAACAAGACTGTACAAGCTAAGCATATCTAGGAAGTCACTTAATGGTTTCCCATTAATCCAAAAGAATAATTATATACAACTTTATCTTTAAAGATGTTAAAAGTATATCATAGCCCATCAAAGTTCTGTAATTTCTTTCATTCCAGATAAGCTGTATCACAAACACATAGGGATTAAATGCCACGATTGCAATGTAACAGAGGGTGGTTTGTAGTTAGTTGATACTGCTACTATAGATTCCTTGACTATACAGTCTGTGCCTCTGTGGTCTGAAGTCCAGAGTGTCTGCACACTACTGTGTGCATCTATGTGGTCGTTACTTTTCCTTGGAAAATTAAATGCAAAATATGAAACCAATTTGACTTTTCCTTTTCCAAGTATTTTTTTTTTAATGAAAATTTGACCAGAAGATGTTGACTATTCTTTGTTGGATGGATAGCTAAAATTGCAAAATCATGCATTCGCCACATGACAAAATCCTACTGCTGTAGTTTACGGGTTCTTTGAAAAATCAACCACTTCTGTTCAAAAAAAATAGAAATTTGAAGTTATTTAAGTTTAAACTTTGGACCTGATAATTCGGAACTGTGTTAGAGTTTTAAACCAACGAGGTACTAAGTGTGACATCCTAATTTACATGGGACTGGTGACCTAATTCAGTCCAAATAGGATGGAAATTTTGAATACTCCTCCATCAAAATTGTAAAGGATCAAATGATGTTTCTTGGAGCATATTGCTAATAGGAATCACAGCTCACAAAATCAACCTTGAACTTTTAGCTCTTCAGTGGCATGGCTGAGAATAATGGATGAGAATGTATGAAAATCATCTTTTTGAGATGAATTTTCCTTTTGAACTTCAGTGTCATAAATTCATAATTTCAGTGATCTTAGTTGTGTAGCGTCCCCATTTCCACCTCTTGAGGCCAACCTCAACATTCTTGAAATAGATTCAGTTAAAAATGTTTCATGTGATTAGTTAGACTGTTTCTTGAAAAAGATGATCAGTTAAAAACTGTTTCATGTAATTAGTTAGCTTGCTTAAAATTTGCTGTTCTGATGAGGCTTTTTGTTTGTTGATATTAATTCTCTGAGACTGGCTTTGCTTTGTGTACTTCTGGTGCCATCATAAGCGTAACCTATGATTTATAATTGTAGATATTCTTATGTGCTCATTACCAATTATCATTAACTGATCTTGAAAATTGCAGGAATTACCTATCATCTATCTTGATTCAAGAGATTTTCCTTACTTGGGATCATGAAGACTTATCAATGCGGGCAAAAGTGAGCAGTCTGCCATATGTTGATGTCATATTTGTTCATCTATTAATTAGATTATCTCTTTGTTTTGTGCAAGCTAAATGTTAATGCAAAAGGGTGCAATTATATTGTCTAGTGCAGACTCCTCACTTTGGGATTGCATTGCTTTCATGTATTTGCAGGCAGCTAGAATTTTAGTGGTCCTAATGTGTAAGCATGAGTTTGATGTCCGCTACCAAAAGCCAGAAGATAAGCTATACATCGCCCAGCTATATTTTCCACTTGTTGGCCAGGTTCACCTCTTTGATAATTTCATACTCTGAATATTTCTGTATTCCATGTTAACTCCATGCATGTTTAACTTCCTTGAATTTTATGGTCTATGTTTTTTGAGCTATAAGATCTGGGTATTTTCTTCATTGTGTTCATGCAGGTTCTAGATGAGATGCCTGTATTCTACAATCTGGCCGCAATTGAAAAGCGTGAAGTCCTTGTCATTTTTCTGCAGATAGTACGCAACTTGGATGACTCATCACTTGTTAAAGCTTGGCAGCAAAGTATTGCTCGTACCAGATTGTTTTTCAAACTCTTGGAAGAATGCCTTATGCATTTTGAGGTTGATACATACACACTTGCTGACAATTCTGTAAAGTTTTGCTTGATATTGACTTAACATTTGTGTTGCTATCAATTGTCTTGGCTTATCATGTTCACCTTCCAGTGTGCTGGTGTTCTATGGCAATCTGAATGTGTTTTTAATTCTAAAAGAATCAGTTGTCTTGGCTTATTATTTGTCGAATTTGTTTGCCTTCCAGTGTGCTGGTGCCGTATGGCAATCCAAATGTGATTTTAATTCTAAAAATTGTTTGATAATGCCTGATGGTTTATTATGAAAATCTATTGAGTGGGAGGTTTTGGAACATTGTGCAGTTGGACATGAGTGGGTTTGGTGTTCCTGATGAATCCTAAGGTTGTGAGATTCAATGTATTGCCTTACTGTTATATACATACGTGCTCTGTAAATTAATAATTGGAAATACTACACTACTTTTTTGCTAAAAGAATTAAGCTACAGTGAAGAGTGGGATAAAAGAAACTAGTTTCTGTATTCAGGTTGAATATAATCAAAGTTTTAACAATTATACTTTCAAGGCAATTAGTTTTTACACATCCAACTACTGATGCATACTCCTGTGTCATTCTTCTGCTGTTATTGAGATAGAGTACATTTAATTAGAATCAAGTTATTTAGGAGAGGAAGAGATAGAGTAGAAATTAATTGGATTTGAGTTACTTTGTGTTAGACATTATAAATGGTTGGAATATATAGGGATTAATGTGTATATTCTTAGGGATTAGGTTCCGATCCTTACCTTAGTATATAGTTTCTTGTATAAATATGTATATTCCTTAGTCTGAGATATATGAAAAATATGGAGTTCTCCATTTGACATGGTATCAAGAGCTCCAGGTTTGAAGGAAAAAAAAAAGTAGAGGATTTTTTTTTTTTTTTTTGGAAAGGAAGAGAGAGAGTAAAACTAAATTGTGAAGTTATTTAGGATAGAAAGAGATGGAGTAAAATTTAATTGGCTTAAAGTTATTTAGAAAGTTTAGCTTGAGCCTTGAGGGCTTACTATGAATTTTGCACTTCATAGATTTGAATAGAGAAGTATAAACAATGTAGATTTTGAATTTTCTAGTTGAGTTAGTGGTATTCTGCTGTTGTTGGTGCCTGAGTTTCTTGATAGAGTGTTTCTGACTTTTTCTTAACGTGATTGTGCAGCATAGAAAACCCACTGATGGGATACTTGTGGCCAGTAGCTCTCGTAGTGTGGCGGGGGAAGGTCCTGCATCACCAAAGTATTCTGATAGACTTTCACCTGCAATAAACCAGTACCTGTCTGACGCCGCACGACAAGAAGTCAGAGTATGCTTCATTTTTATGACATAGAAACACTCATAATGTTGCTCTCTGCCTTTATTCCTTTTTTTTTTTTTTTTTTTTCAATTAGCACTAAGCATCTAGACTCTTTAAAATACAGCAGCAGGGAACACCTGAGAATGGTTATTTGTGGCAAAGGGTTAATTCACAGCTAAGTTCACCTAGTCAGCCATATTCTTTAAGAGAAGCACTTGCACAAGCCCAGTCCTCTCGAATTGGGGCTTCAGCACAAGCATTAAGGGAATCTTTGCACCCAATATTAAGGCAAAAACTGGTAAGTCTTGAACTTAATGGTAGTATGGATATTAACATGCCTATGGCTGCATATATCTTTGCACATCTGTCAGTGTGTGTGCTATAGAAAAGTACATATGCTGTTACTGATGTAATTTCAACCAATGATTTCTTTATCTATCTATCATTATCTGTGATACACTAGTTTCCTTCTGCTAATAACATCAATACTTTAGGAACTTTGGGAGGAGAATGTAAGTGCAGCTGTCAGCCTACAAGTGTTGGAAGTCACTGACAAATTTTCAAGGACTGCTGCTTCTCATAGCATTGCTACTGATTATGGAAAACTTGATTGTATCACATCCATATTTATGAATGTCTTCTCACGCAATCAACCACTCTCTTTCTGGAAAGCTCTCTTTCCAGTGTTCAACAGTGTTTTTGAACTCCATGGGGCTACCCTCATGGCAAGGGAAAATGACCGCTTCTTGAAGCAAATTGCTTTCCATCTACTACGGCTTGCTGTTTTCCGAAATGACAATATTAGGAAAAGGGCTGTTGTTGGGCTTCAGATACTTATTCGTGTAAGTGTTTTGAATTAAATTTACATTATGGCTTTTGCTCTCTAACAATGTTTGAACTATTTCACTCTCCCATGATCCCTCAGTAAAATTGCTCCTTTTTTTTTTCAGAGCTCCTTCTCTTGCTTTACACAAACAGCAAGATTGAGAGTCATGTTAACTATCACATTGTCAGAGTTGATGTCTGAAGTCCAAGTAACACAGATGAAGTCAGATGGAACGCTTGAAGAGAGCGGAGAGGCCCGTCGGCTTCGAAAATCACTAGAAGAGATGGCTGATGAATCTAAGAGCCTCAGTTTATTAGTGGAGTGTGGGCTTCCAGAAAATGCACTTGTTGCTTCTCCAGAAGGATTAGGAGAAAGCCGGTGGTCCTGGTTGGAAGTGAAAAATCTTTCTGACAGTCTTCTAATGGCTCTTGATGCTAGCCTGGAACATGCCCTTATGGTACATCATGACCTCCTTAATCACCTTAGTACTCAACAATGCTAATCTAGACATGAATATGGTTTGCTGGTTATATGCTCTCAAATTGTGTCCTCTTGCACTTGCCCCTTTCTTTCTACAGGCATCTGTAATGAATGTAGACAGATATGCAGCTGCTGAGAGTTTTTACAAACTAGCAATGGCGTTTGCACCTGTGCCAGATCTTCACATAATGTGGTTACTGCATTTATGTGATGCACATCAGGAGATGCAGTCTTGGGCTGAAGCTGCACAATGTGCTGTTGCTGTTGCAGGTGTTGTGATGCAGGTAAAAAAGCTTGGCTGAGTAGTTTCTTTGATCCATTTCAAGCTTTCTTAAAGTTCAATTTGTGGGTGGAAGGCCTCCAACTTCCACTTTACATTCTTTGGCTATGATGTATTTCCCATACATTGTACTCTGGCAAACCAGAGATATCATCTATGCAAATGATGATGGATAATGTGAAGGTGATGCATCTGATGTCCTCTGTCCACATATAGGATTTCCAACATCCTTATAACTCATTTTTCACTTAATTATACCTGGATTTTCAAAATCGAAGTTATGTTTTGGTTTGAGAAACTTAAGATAAACATTTTCACATGATGAAGTCTAGTAGGACTTCAATTTGAAATTTACAGAAAACAGAGTGCTTCTTGTTGAAACTACATTGGTAATTAGGAGTCAAAGCATGATTACATATATATGTTATGCAGTGATGCTGATTTGAATCTGGACAATTATCCCCAGGCCCTTGTGAGTAGGAATGATGGTGTGTGGAGCAAGGATCATGTGAGCGCATTACGCAAAATCTGCCCCATGGTTAGCAATGAGATCAGTTCTGAGGCCTCAGCTGCTGAAGTAGAAGGATATGGTGCTTCAAAACTAACTGTGGATTCTGCTGTCAAATATCTGCAGCTTGCAAATAAGCTTTTTTCTCAAGCTGAGCTCTACCATTTCTGTGCAAGCATTCTAGAACTCGTAATTCCAGTATATAAAAGCAGAAAGGCTTATGGACAGCTAGCAAAGTGCCACACTATGCTCACTAACATCTATGAGTCAATCCTAGAGCAGGAGTCAAGTCCTATACCTTTCACAGATGCAACATACTATAGAGTAGGATTTTATGGTGAAAAATTTGGGAAGCTGGATAAGAAAGAATATGTGTATAGAGAGCCTCGTGATGTAAGGTTGGGTGACATAATGGAGAAACTTAGCCATATATACGAGTCGAGAATGGATGGGACTACTTTGCATATAATACCCGACTCTAGACAAGTTAAAGCAGAGGAGTTGCAGGCTGGAGTGTGCTACTTGCAGATAACTGCAGTTGATGCAGTGATGGAAGATGAGGATCTTGGAAGCAGACGGGAAAGAATATTCTCACTTTCAACTGGAAGTGTTAGAGCTCGAGTTTTTGATCGCTTTTTGTTTGATACTCCATTCACTAAAAATGGAAAGACTCAAGGAGGGCTGGAAGATCAGTGGAAGCGGCGCACAGTTCTGCAAACTGAGGGTTCTTTCCCTGCCCTCGTTAACCGGCTTTTGGTTATCAAATCAGAATCACTTGAGTTTTCCCCAGTTGAGAATGCAATTGGGATGATTGAAACGCGGACAGCTGCATTACGGAATGAACTTGAAGAGCCTCGCAGTTCGGAAGGTGACCAACTTCCCCGTCTGCAGAGCTTACAGAGGATACTCCAAGGCTCTGTTGCTGTTCAAGTGAGTTTGCATGCCCAGAATATACTCGTGATTTACTTTATGGGGATATTCCAATGCTTATTCATTTGCTTTCTTATTGACTCCAGGTGAACAGTGGAGTCCTTAGTGTTTGTACCGCATTTCTTTCTGGGGAGCCTGCAACGAGATTGCGCTCACAGGAGCTGCAGCAACTTATTGCGGCTCTTCTAGAATTCATGGCTGTATGCAAGCGAGCTATACGAGTTCACTTTCGGTTGATTGGTGAAGAAGATCAAGATTTTCACACACAGCTGGTCAATGGATTTCAGTCTCTCACTGCTGAGTTATCTCACTATATTCCCGCAATTCTTTCCGAACTCTAACTTCTTGTAGTAGTGTTGTTTTGTTTGTTTTAAGTTTTCCTAATCCCTACCTCCCTACTTACTAGTGTGTGTGTGTGTGTTCATATAATTTGTATTGCATTGGTTCAGCAATCAGTCTTCTTGTACTTATAATTAGGGGGCACCTGTTTATAATTAGTTGCTTTTTGTACTCCATTTGTTTTTTTATTACAAGTAATTATTATTCCTTCTTGAGCAATTTTCCCATTATACCCATGCTATTTATACGGAGTATTATTTTGTTTTGTATGGGAAAAGGATACCCCAAAAACTCATTCTTGTCTAAACACCCTAACCATAATCAGCAATAAATAGGATAATTCCTATGTTTTTCCTTTAATCAAAATATTATTTTTCAAAGAGAATATGGTATTCCTCAATAGTGCCTTTTGCTTTTAGCCACACCCACACGCATATGCCGGCGGATTCCTCTTCACAGAGATACTGACATAAAAGAAAGCAGCAGTAGAATGATGCATAACATGCCTGTCACAATAATGCATATTTTAATAAATTCAAACAAGCTTGTACCATTTCTTTCGATTGCTCATAGAAGCCTAGAAAATATACTCTCAACTTTTACTCTTACACACAAAATCTTGACGTAGACACTTGTATTGGGACTCACATTAAAAAATAACTTATCAGAGCCCGTCAAGATTTACAAGTACATGTAATAAAACTCATAGGAGCCTGCCTGCCTGCCTAATCTTGGCTGATGCCTTCATTTTTCTAAATTGCCCTTCTTCTAATCTTTTCAATATTGTGCAAGCTCACTATATCACTTTCACATGTTGCTTGGCCAACAACCCTAAAAACAACATAAGCAGTAGAGTTGTAACATCTGAAGAATGCCCAACGGTAGTAGTCCAACAAAGGCTGAAACAGATGTGCTTAAATGCATTCACTTGTGCTATTGATAACCTTCCACTTCTCAAACTCGGCAGATTTTAACATGAATGAACTAGCATTGCGATGCCCACCACCACCAAATTCCTAACAAAAATCACCATTATATATTGCTTGCAAATGTAAATTACACTGCCAATTTGCTAAAGCTTATGATTATTGTTATGAACATCAGCTCTGAATAATCTAAAATCTACTCCGATTTCTTATAAATCATTGGCTTAAATAAGCTAAAACATGTTGTGAAATCGAAAATCCATAATCTTTGCTGCTACAAAGTTGATCATGTAAATATGTAATCCATAACCCCAATAATCTGATTAAATAAGCTTAGCTTATCAAACAGGAAAAGTTTCTCCTTAAAAGAAAATAAAAGGGCATACTGATCCAAAAAAATTAAGCCAAACCTGAGAAATAGGAGTTGTATCCTCAATATCAACACTCCTTAGGCTGATTTTCAACACTTGGTCGTTTTCAAGCTCAGGTACCTTGTATACAACAGCTCCAATCCTCCTGCCACATATCCAACCAAGATTCTGCTTAAGCACTACTATAGTATCATTTGCCGAATATAATAAGATAACTCAAATACTGCCTGACACTAGAGTAGTCTAATTATCTCTTGCATATATCATCGGAGTCTCTGGCTCTCTGCAAAGCTAAGTCTCAGATAATTTGCCCATCTATACATATATACTATTGATCTTAAAACCCTGCTTGTTTAAAAATCATAAATGAAATGTTTTGGATTTTTTATTTTATTTTTTTGTTTCTTTTTTGGTACATCAATGGGGGATGAAGGATGTAAACTCTTGACTCTAAGTCTAGGAGGCTTCACTTAACCAACTAATGACTTATAACTTCAAACATATCCAGTAAACACTGATCATTGATCAAGCATCTCTTACTTTTTCGACTTGAACACAGAGAATACAATAAGCTTTTAATGCTAAAAAACATATGCAGAAACATCACATTGGTCTAAAAGAAAGATCCTTCACTAGATAGGGTAAGAAGATCCATAACTCATTATGAATAAGATATGCTTGTCTTTCTTTCTATTAATAACGCAATGCAAAAAAAAAAAAAAAAAAAAAAAAAAAAAAAAAAAGGAAAAGCCAAACCTCAACTTCATTTCAAAACTTTTAATAGCCAACTGATTGCCAAGCTCGCTTCTCAGCTCAAATAAAGCATCCGCATTTACTGCCTACAGTAAGGAGAAAGGTGACACCATTCATGAAGTCACTAGGTAGTAGGTATGCCTTACTAGCTGTATGGCAAAATGAAATACTAAATTCTTTCCTACTTTAGCATTTCAAAAGAAATAAGAATATACTAAAATGGCCAGAAATGTTAAAAGGAATGAGGTTCCCCCACATTAAACAAAATAAAACAGATAGAGGAGCACGGCTCCCGTGTGTTTAATTTCATAACAGAACTTTTCTTGAAATTTTCACCAGCACATAAAATTAAGTCCATTAACCTGAATAGGAAAGAAGCTTCTTCTTTTAGTTTCCTCTACTTTGTTCAACTTTCTTTTATGAAATGCAACTTCGCCTCTGGAAAATTTAAAAAGTTCAAGCAAGTTTTACCAAAGATGTGAAATTATGCTATGAAAGTGACCCAAAAGAATCTTAAGTGAACTCTATTGTCGGGTAAAGATTTTATTCCATCAGTTGTTATTTGGATAAAAATTTCCACAACCTTGTAATACGTCACCAAGGGGCAATCCATCAAGAAATTTTGTTTCTTGCGGAATAGAGGTAAGGCTAAGGTTGATCTTAAAAAAGACGGGAGAAAAAGAGTGGAGAGTATGGTCAAGGAAAAGAAAGAGAGATGGAATGAGAAGAGAAACTTCCCCAGTTTTTCAACATGGCACTAGATATCCAAAAGTTGCCAATTGCACAGGGGTTACCAAAAAAAAAAAAAAAAAAAAAAAAAAAAAAAAAAGCGCTGGAGAAGAAAGTAAATTGTACGGACTCCAAAAAGTTAGTCATTTCACTTATTATTAGAAAAATTACCAGGTTATTTTGTAATTCTCATTATCCATGGTTCTAAGTTTTATCAATCTGTTAATTTGCATAGTAACACCTAGTTGTCAGCCCCGTGTGTATAGACTTGTTGACAAGCATAAAAGCAAGATCATGTGGATGGCAGCAGTTGGTTTTATTTGATGATGTGAAAAAATAACCTTTTGTAACACTGGAACTTCAATTCATTCGGGGGAAAAAATGTTTCTCATAGTTAGCCATAAAACTAAACAGAAAGCAGCAAATGATGATTTTTGAAACTTTACCAGGCAATGTCCAAATGTTCCACCACCAAGTGCTATTACAAATGACTGATCAAGGGCATCATCTATTAATTTCTGTTTCCGAGATATGGTCACCTTTCCTTGAGATATGAGAGACTCAAGATCCAAAGAGCGCAACTGCAGAAAATGGTGGCATAGAGAAGTAATTAGATAACAATCTACTTTTGTGACAGATTATATGTCATAAAGGCCCTGAAAAGTTACACTCTGATGCGGCACATCAAGGTCCTGAGGAATTACACCATGTGATGTAGAACATTAAATTGGGTAATGTTTTACTGAATTTTGACACCAGAGGGGTAAAATCCAATGAAAATATGTTGCAAATTGCTAAGTACACAAGGGGTGAAAGGTATAAATCTAAATTTTCAGTTTAGTTCTGAATAATGATAGAGTGTTCTCACCCCTTTCAAAACTAAATTTATTTTCAGACTTATTGTTGCGTGGTGAAAAGGTTCTGCTAATAAATCAAAATGAATTTATGTTAGGCATCATAAATACATCCAGTTTAATTTCTAACTGCCTAACTGATACCACCAAATGACAGCAATTATTGATTACCATTTGAGTGTATGACTGTAGCATTTGAGTGTGATACTTTTGCTGAAAAAGATTCCACATTAATTAAGTTGGCAAATAGAGATCAATTTGAAATTTTTTTTAAAAAATACTGATAAGAGAAGAAGCATTAAACAATGGTGACCTGGTCAAACAAGGATGGGTTTGATCTGACATCAAATTCAATCTTCAAATCATCAAAGCCACTGCTAAATGCCTTACTGTCAGGGAGTTTCCATCTCCACAAATCTCTGTCTTCAATGTATTGAAAGAGTTGGCGGAGTCTTCGGAATTCAGAGATTCCCTGGTCTAAGGTGCTGTAATCAACAGCTGCATTATTGGTATCCCTGGTGGCGAGCTTTTCCATGAAATAATCATAGGCAATAGTAGCCGCACTCCTATCCATGTCTATCACTTTGGTCACATTTCCAGAAACACAAGTCCCAGCACCCAACATTTCAAGTGCAGTTTTGTGATGATCCAATACAATAACACTACAGCATATAATATAATAATCAATATACTAAGCACATGAATAAAAAGCAATCCATTTGGTACAGTCAAAATATTTTGTTAATCTCATAGCATGAACAAACTTGAAAGCACTGCTCATCTCTCCATATATAATAATAATTTTATAAATGAGCATATTAGAAATAATAGAATTAATTAGTGAGTAAACGAAATGAAATGAAGGATAATTACCGGCGAACAAGAGAGGAAAGGTGATGAAGAAAAGCAGGAGGACCGACAAAATCCAAGAGGTAGACAGAATCGATTTGAGAGAGAGGGAGGTCTCGGGGCGTAAGTGGAGAGTAGACGGTGTTGGGGATGAAGAAGAGAGGCGGCGGCGGAGAAGTAGAGAGGGAGGAGAAGTAAAGGTGAGCGGCCAAAGCAGCAAAGGCGCCGTCGGGGCAGGGGTAGTGGTACAACACCGCTACACCCATTTTCCCTTTCTTCTTCTGCACCTCTAACATTATTACCACCTCCTACATGCATTCATTTTTACTGTACATTGTTATTTAAGCATAGCATGGAGGATGGGAGGTGAAATAAATCCTTAAAAAGTTAATTAGGTTCTTAACAATTTAAAAGTTATAATCAAATATTGAAGTCTAAAGATCGGATAGTAATTTGCTATTGTAGGTTATTAAAGCCAAACGATGTCATTTGAATTCAAGGTCCACAATACTATGTTCACTATATAAATTGCCTCCTTTCTCAATCTAAGAGGGTGTTTAGTAAATGGTTGTTAGTTGATTGTATGACTGAGTTTGACTAGTTGATAATATTTATTATGGTAGAAAAGTGTTTGATAAATCAGTTGTTAACTGATTATATACAAAATGACTTTTTCAAAAAATTGATCGAGAAAATTTACTTTTAGCAATTTTTTAAATTTTAATATTTTGAAATAATAAGTTGTTACAAAAAGTTAATTAATCAAACACTCATATTAATTATTTAACTAATAATAGACAAATAAATCAAAATTAACTGATAGCTAACTATTTTATCAAATAAGGCTTAAATCTTTTCTTTCCGCTTTTAAACCTTTTTGTCTAATTATGTGTAATGTTTAAATTAACATATCAAATAGCTAGCCCGTAATTAATTAAAGATGACATGTGCAATGATTGAAGAGCTTAATAACATATGCAGTATCATATAAGGGAATTGAGGAACTGGTTCATAGAGCTATAGCATCATTCAATATTGCAGGTCAAAAAATAATACTCCAATAAAATCACAACTCAGAACAGAAATAGCATCGTAGATCACTAATACAAGTTTTCAAAATTCATCAACTCTACCTTTGATATTCCTATTCACACATTAAATACACCAAAGCTCATCCTAAAATTTGGCAATATAAAGAAAATAGGGCTAGTCCAATCCCCCTTCTTTTTAACTAGCAGCTTAGCTTAGATTTATGCAGGTGCTCAAATATTATGCGACCTACCCCCAAGAGTACTTCATCTACTTTGCATTTCAAGGTCACGATAGTGATGCCACTTTTTGTATCTTTGATGTCCTAGTAGCACGGGTCTAAGTCGGGGGGCAGTAGTGCAGTTTAAACAGCAGCAGCCCCTTAGATCAGTCAAGCACTCTGTACAGCATCTGAGCAACACTCGTCAAATGTTAAAGAGTGAAATAAGGAAATTACCGCCTGCATTATGTCTTTTATGTAGCTATGCAACTTCAATTAATAGATGTGTGCACTTACAGGAAAAGCAGGTTGCAGTCTATGTTTGCACAGTTACGGTGCCTCAACTCAGAAACACTTGAATCACAAAGGTAGCATCTTGCAAATGCTTTAACCGGGGAAACAACTTCTTGCACTCTGCCTTGTTCACTTTCTGCTTCAGAATTGTAGCTTGATGGTGGTAGAGATAGGCGCGCATCAAATACAAAAAGATTTCCAATCCATCCAACAGAGCCTTCAGTTTTAAGGTAATTAGAGACACCACCCTTTAGAGTATATAACCGCTTAAACCCCCTTCTCCTGTCATATAAACATGAATATTTATCAAGGCATCGTAGATGCATAAAAAAACAGACAGAAAAGAAAAAGCTTAGTTTTAGCTAAGTCACAGTAAACTCACATTTTAGAAACCTTTGAGAGTTTGAGATACTTCTATGAGCAACAAGTAAAAGGTCAATATAATACTTAAAAGACACTATATATAAAATGTTTTTCAGGACTGGACATTTTAGTTCTTTCCTTCTTTTTTCAAAGGTTAATGCTTTTCACTCTTCCCTCTACTAGCTAGTCATAATCCATGCAATAAATTCATAGATACTTTGAACTATAGGGTCAGCCTTTCAATACAAGCAGAAGCTTATGCTATGGCAATGATCTATATACTAAAGGATGGGTGCATCCCTTCTCTCGCATCTAGCATTCTATATCTAGAGCTCAGAGAGCTGACTGTCCAAACAGTATTTTACAGTTTTGCAATTGAGAAGTCTACTGTTCTAGTGATATTTTAATAGACACTTCATACGAGATAGAATGACAACTGCAGTGTAGAGCTCCCTTGAATTCATGGTTGGTAGATCTTTAGCACCAGTAACTTTTTTTAGATTCTTTTGGCTTTCTTAGATTAGGATGCAATACTTATAGGAATACATTTCTATCGAACTCTTTCAGTTTGTTTTTACATATGTTAGGTAATTAAGGCCAAGACCCCCTTCTACGATTTCATTAACTCTGTATACTAATGCACCCTCTTCTATGATTTTAATCACTCTCTTTGCCAATGGTAACCCGTATGCAAGTAGCATGCACCAAATCCATGCAGAGGTTTCTGTGCACGGTTGTGTGCATAGAAGACAATTATATTCCTATAAAATTTGGATTACCTAAGCATCGTGGAGTATACATCGCAGCGGATGCCTCCAGTGCAATACATCAATATATCAGTTTTATCTTTGTCAACAGCTGCTAAAGGATCAGAATCAAGGACCTGCATACAAAAAGTACATCATAATAATTATTTCATATAACAATAATTCTTGTATACATTTATATAGTCTAAATAATACAGTGATTTTAAGTCTAAATAGAGCTATTCCAATCCCCCTTCTTTTTACCAAGGCATAAGGAAAGGAGCAGTTTAACTTGGACATATGATGGCAACACACTATAGGAAGCCAGAGGCGAAGTCCTATGCAAGCATATTATGTCCAGAAAATTCACCAACAGGCAAATGATTTTTAGTTGAATGCTTGGAGTAATTTAGCTATAGGGGAACCTTAGTCCCTTACATGCATCCCTAAAACAAATATAAAAGGTTGCTGTGAATTTTCAAGAATCCGTGGACTTAATGCAGATCCAAGGCTATACTACATCCTTTGCAGTTTATTATTTAGTTTGGGCTTAGACCATTTTAATCCATTGAGTTTGTAAGTGAATGATCTCAAAAGGCATAGGAACTTTGCTCCTAAAAATCAGACAAGACTACAAGAACATCAGTTCAATTACCCTACTTTGTGAGCTTTCAAAATGGTTCATAAATGAAAACTAACTTGAATATTTTAAACAAAATGCTGAAGCTATCTGGATGCAACAATTAAATTCAGTAAAATGAGAAACGAAAGTTGAATCCTGAACAAGTACTTGGGAAAATGACTCATAGGCTAACAATATCTTAGACAGAGTAATATATTAGAACAAGTAAATTGGCATTGCCTCTGAGTCAGAAAGCCCGAACGAAGTGCTCCGAAAGCAGTCAACATTAGGTCTCTGAGCCCCTTGAAAGTGACCAATATCCCATTCATAGCCTGCATAAAACATGTTGTAAGAACTAGAGTCCAAGTCACAAATGAGTACTACCATGAAAGTATTAGCAAAGACTAAGTTGTGCCATTCTGAACAAGAGATATACCATAATAAATAAATAGACACTATCAAGTCAATCTATTTCACTCACAGCTGGCATGGAAAGAAAAAGTGCTTAGTTTGAGAAACTTGCAAGTAGTTACCATTTCGTACATCAAGTATAATGGACTTTGTATTAACATCCACATTTGATGAGTTATTCACATTATTTACAGCTTCCAATCTGTTCTTCCACTGGGATGTTGTCAAAGGTGTGGCTCGCATTGATGTGTCAAGCAAAGGAAGATCCGAGATTTTTCCTTCCACCTGCTGACACAATTAATGCGTAAAATTTCAAAGGAGAAAGTGCCCTGAGCACAGGAATTGTTCTGGCAGTAGAAATAAATAATTAACAAAACAAGGAGGATTGCCTGAACAAGCGAGGGCTTATACCGCAGCTTCAATCTTGGGAAGGCATGGCCACATAAAGTAGAAGATGTCTGGACCAATATGTCAGAGAACCTTTGGTCTTCCTTTACAAACTCAACATAAGCGAGGGCATCTTTCTTGGGTCCGCTGTACTGTACTTACAAGATGGCTCTTAGCTGATTGAGTTAGTGGATTTGACTAGTTGATAAATTAACTGATTGTAAAAAAGTGTTTGGTAAATGAGTTGTTAGTTGTTTACCTACAAAAATGACTCTCTCCAAAAGCTAATCGAAAAAGCTACTTTGAGCAGCTTTTTGAATTTTAGCATTTTGGAGCAATAAGTTGTTACAAAAGGATAATTAATCAAACACTCATATTGATTATTTAACAAAAATTGGGAGATAGGCTAACTATTTTACCAAATAGGACTGAAGTGTATGTAAGAGAACCACAACTACTAATCCTCTCAGCTATGGAACTAAAATGCCAGGCAACTAGCAGCACAGGTATACATTAATGGCGGGTGAAGCAAGTTAATCTTATATACAGGAAAGCAGAGGGCGGTCTATGCTAGGCATACCTGAGCATTAATCCCCTGCTCATTCAGATATATGCGGCCATGAATATCACGACCCTGCTCATACAGATGACAAACAAATTCAGAAACATATAATTCCACAGAATTGAATGTGTGTAAAATTTAAAATTAAAAAAATGAATAAATTTACAGAGATTAAAAAAGGATTAAAGGGTACTTACCTCCATGAAGGAGAGGTGTTTAGCGAGCAGGTGTTGTGGGTCATGAATGAACACAAAACAGTAGAAATTCACCACTATATACTCTTCATCGTGGACCTTATTATTCTGGCCCGGCGTCGGATACTTTGGCAGTGCAGCGGAGCGGACACAAGTGTTGATACATTTCCAAGAAGACGGGGGGGCAGCCCTTGCAGGGAAAACCCACCGCAGCCTCGGCGAGATACAATGAGCGAAAGGGGAGGGATGCGTAGAGCGAGAGCGAGCGAGGGAGATTGGGATGGCGAGGGAGCTCATGGCTCAATGCTCATGCTACCTCCACTCCACTCCAAAGCTCGGGTTCGTTTCAGCCCGATAAGGCAATGCAAGGCTAGGGATAGTTATGCTGTGGATCGCTATGCTCTATGCATGGTGCATACGGATGCAAAAACGATCACGTTTTATTATGCATTTCATTTAAAAAAAATCAGTTCAAATTCTCTTCAACAGTATTACGTTGTTTATTCATTCTGGATTTTAGTTCAAAGATTCTGGAATTTTAGTTCATCAATTTTGGAATTTTAGTTCATGGATTCTGAAATTTTAGTTCATAGATTCTGGAATTTTAGTTCATTCATTCTGAAATTTTTAGTTCATAGATTAGATTATGAAATTTTAGTTCATTGATTCTGAAATTGTAGTTCATCGATTCTGGAATTTTAGTTCATCGATTTTAGAATTTTAGTTTATATGTTGTTGCTGGGAATCGAAACTGATTTTTTTTTTAAGTGAGACGCGCGTTTTTAATAAAACGACGTCGTTTTTGCATCCGTATGCATCATGCATGGGGCAATTTATATCCTACACCACGGTGCACGTTGCATTGTGCGCCCAGATGAAAAACGACGTCGTTTCAATTTTTTTTTTTTTTTTTTTGAAATTTCGCGTGCCCAGTGTTTGGCAATTAATTTTCCTTTAAAAAAAATATATGATCCAAAATGTACATAATGTTATATTAGAATACACATAATTGTATACATGAATGTACATAATTATATAACAAAATACACATATTCTTTTGTAAAAGATAATACACATAATCTAACATAATACATAATAAACATAAATTTTTAACATAATACACATCAACTCTTAACATAATACACATCAATTCTTAACATAGTACACAAAAATTTCCTGATTCGGATTTACATAATTGTATTAAAAAAAAAAGTATATAATTGTATAAAAAAATGTACATAATAAAAAATATACATAATTGTATACACAAATATACATAATTATGTCAACTTCCTACCGCGCCTCTTAAAATAATGTCGTTTTGGAAGGCGCGGGACGCACAGTGCACTGTACGTCGTGGTGCAGGGTATAACGATTGCATGCATGGTGGATGCACATCATAATTTGCCCAAGGCTAGGAGGAGCTTTGCGGTTTAATATGGACTCTTATTTCAGCCCACTAAATTATGGAGCAATTGTCGATTGGTATGAAAATTTGTACTATAAAACGGAATATTCATCCAATTGTAACACACATATCATTCAAAATATCCAAAAGTGTAAGCCCATATACCATAAAATCAATACTTATGTTGTGGAACCGTGTTCACGATGCGCATGGTAAACACGGGATAAATTCATAATTTTTAAATTGTAGATTCATATTTTTTATAGTGTAGATTCATAACATATAAATTGTAGATTCATAATTTCTATACCGTAAATTCATAATATAATTATGTGATTCGTGAATACAGAGTTCAACAATTGGGATATATGAACATCGATTCATAATTTCTATACTGTAGATTTATAATTTCTGTACTGTAGATTCATAATATCTGTATTGCGAAGACGAAATAATGCGATTGCGAAGAGAGAAACGTCGTTAACACTTAACAACAAATGAAAAACAAAATTATGAATCTACAACATAGAAATTATGGATCTACCCATGTGTTCACCGTGCGCATGGTGGACACGTTTCCACAGCATAATTTGCGCCATAAAATATTTAAAGTCTTAAGAATTCTAATGGGAAAATGGTTAAATATACCCTCAAATATTATATGAGAAATCAATTAGGCCCTCAAACTTTTGAAATTCACTATTAGACACATTAACATATTAATTTAGCATATCAAGACTCAAAAACCAGTTAATGACATGCAATAGTAAGTCACTAATGCTCCGACGGAGCTCCGACGAAGTTCCAAAGACCTCTACGGGAAAATCAGTGACGATGCAACCAATAGGTCACCACTGATCGCCTTCTTTGTCGACTGGAGAAAGCGATAAGTTTGGTCGCCTTCTCCAGTCGACGGAGATGGAGACCATTTTGGTCGCCTTCTCTGGTCGACGAAGATGGCGACTATTTTGGTTAACTTTTTCGGCCACCGACTAATAGGTATGTTCACGATTCAGTTTCAGTTTCGAACAGGTGATTTCCGATTCCTCAATCGGCCAAATTGGAACCGCTTGTATATAGGTTCCACATCCAATTTTGAAATTTTGTATATAGGTTTCACATTCAACGCGGATTCCGATTTAAACTGGATATTTTTTTTATTTTTGTACATTTTATTTTGTATTTTTAAAATAGTCTAAATTTAAAAATTAAATTTTATTTTAGATATATTATTGTTCATATCAACACTGACATTACTGTATTATTCAACTCATTCATTTAGATATATTAAGTTTCATATCAGTTTATATGAAATAGGAGGAGTATATGTTGGAAAAATAGTATTAAAATAGAATTAAAATGGCATTTAAGTGGCTATTTTGTGGTACAATTATCAGTGGGGTCCACTTCTGATTTGGGTCGGGTCAAAGTGGATTTGGATTCTTCGTAGTGAGGCGAAGAGATTGATATATTGTACGCTCAAATCGGATAATGGGTGAATGAGATATTGATTCTCAAAGTAGACCCATTGAGTTGGAAAAATGAAGGGAAAAGTGAGCTTTGTCCCACATTGGTTTGGAAAGAGGATTTCACCCCCCTTTTATATAAGAGCTCTTTTGGAGCTTGTAGAATTGTATAGCATAGAGGTTCTCTCGCGCGGGAAGGGGGGGGGGGGTGCAAATCAAATTCCAACTAAAAACGAGATCGAAAAGCCTTGATTCAAGCTCGAGCTCGTGTGCGCGGGCACGAATGTAGTTCAGAAATTGGCCCGCCTTGCGGGCATAAGTTATGCCAAACTTCGGTATCATTTTTCAACCGATATAGTCACTTGGTTCGACCGAAACCCAAAACCGAGAGCACAACTCTCGTGCAACGGTGACCACGAGAGGTGCACTCTCGGGTTGCACCACAACACGAGAGATGTACTCTCGTGTGCTGCAGTAGCGCGAGGCCGAAACTTGGTGAGCCTGAAGGCTAAGAGTCCTTTAACTACAGTTTTGAATTTTGAATTTAATTCTGTTAATGGTGGTTGTTTCAGGTGTTACAAAGACTGATTTAATATCAGCTTTAATGTCATAATGATGCTATTGAATCCTTCATACCCTATATAAGAAGGGAGTAGGACAACATAATTTTTAACAACAACATGAGGGAGGAACAAGAGAGACACAACACACAAAGATAAGCACGTTTTCTTCTCAAAACTCTGCTCCTACTTCTTTCTTGCTACTGTGTTTTGCCCGTGCTCTAGTTTGCCGGGTTCGTTCGTTTGGGTGCTCAAACGTCGAACCGTTGTACGTTTTATCCTGGGAAACCTAGGCCACAACGCTCCTAGCACTTTTGGGAGGTGGCAAATAAGGTTTTAAGGAAAGACAGGCACTTTGCCTAACTCGTACTTCTCTTTCTTCTTCTCCTTCTTTCTTGTTTTGGATTATGCTCTAAGCAAAAATCCCTGCTTCTTTCTTGTTGGATTGGAATTATAATCTGAGGGTTATAAGTTCCAATTTTGGTTGATATATATTGGTATATCTTTTTCGTAGATATATTCGTATATATAATCTTTGGATCCGGTTTATATATATTTGTGTGTGTATATATATACTTCGGATAAATATAGAATAATATTTTATATACTTGTGTATGTATATATAAATATTATTTTGTGATATCAAAACGATTTTGGTTTATTATCTCAAATAGTATATACTAGTGGGTGGGTGGTAAAAATTTTATATTAAATAATACATAATGAACAATGGCATGCGAACTTTGATTCGTTATCGCCTTTAATTATTTAGTTAGACATTTTATTTTAGATGACATGTGGACAATGACTAATATATTTTTATATGGTAACATGTGTGCATTTAATAAATAATTTATGTTTTGAGGTAACAATATGAGTACTGTCAAGAACCTTGTGGTCTAGTGACATCAAATTGTTCTTTCATGTCGTTAATTCTTTGTATTTCAATAAGTTCAAAAAGTAGTTATAAACAAATACTACATTGTAATAACCTCAATTGTACTTAGAAAATTTGAATACTATGTGTAAATCATTTAATACTCCTATACTAAGAATTTATGATGAAAATGTATTGAATTTTAATTTAATAATGTAATTATTGGATCTCGTAATCTGAGATGACCAATATGTTTACAGTATTGCAATATAATCATAATAAATTGGTTTGTTGTAATCATGTTTTATTGCCAATTGAATTATTTCAATTACTCTTGGTGTTAGGCTGACTAAACATGCCTTCAAATTTCTAAATTACTTAATATTTGTGGTTAGATTAAGTTATTTTGTTTTAAAATTGTCTACACTTCTTGAATTATTTGTATACAATTATATATGTTTTTATATAATATTATATCATAAGTAGTATATATTTTTGTGGTAATCAATTTTATTTTTTTTGCAATACATAAATTAATTTATAATTTATAAAAAAAATATCATATATTATAAATAATTTTGTAAAATAAAAAATTATAAATAATATATCATTAGAAGTTATGAAATATTTGTAAAGATGTAATCAATAGAAGTTCATGATTAAACTAATCCAAACATGCCTTAAGAAAGCGCATAAAGATTCATTTGCAATATATATAGAAGAAATAAGGAGACATTGGATAAGCGAATACAAACCTTGCTTAAAATATGCAATTTTGAGTTTTGATTTATGGTGTAATCGAGGCGCTTTCTGCTGGTTTTATGACCCTAACTAGAAAATGATGATCATAATAAAGTAAATTAAAGTTGTTCATAACTGATTTGTTCAAATTAAAAAGACCAATAAACAACTCTTATAAAGAGTTAAATTTAAAATATTGTGATTATCAAATTACAACTGGCATACAATGGACCATGGTCCACATTGTATTCTAGACCCTGATTAAAAAATTATGTGTCTACAGTTAAAATATTATGTATATTTAGTTAATAAATTGTGTGT